CAAGGGCATATTAGCTGGTGTTTACAAAACAGCACAAGCTTTGCAAAATCTCTACAAAATGTGGGACCCGTGCATAAATAACAAATAAATGCATAAATCAATATTTTTCTTTCTTGTTAAATCCTGGCAGCGTTTTCCTCCAGGAGAGAGACCAGAATTTGTTCCCAAAGAACACTTTCTCCCAAAAAAGGGGAAAAAGGAGACAGAATATCTTGTCTGTTTCTCACAGCCAGAACAAAATTAATTTTACTGAAAATTAAATGGGGTCCATTTTTAAGGGGTCTCAAGATCCATTTCTTGCAAACTCAAATAGTTGGGGGGGGAGCGAGCAGATTGACCCAAGCAGACAGCAAGGGGGAAAAAAATTTTGTTATTAGAAGAATTTTTTGCTACTGTGGCTTAAAGTAAAGTACCGTGCGAGCTAGTAAACCCATAAATAAAAATGATTTTTATCTAACTAGGTTAGGAGGATTTTATGAAAATGCTAGTCAAGCAAGGCACAACCTTAAAAGGTTAGATTTAAAGCTCGGGAGACAAATTCACCTGCTCGATGTCTTCGTTCCTTGGATGGTCCAGGAAGAGGGAAAGAAAGTTTCTTGTGCTGTCCCCACCTTCTCAATGCAGAAATGCTACAGGAGGCCTCTCATTTGTGAGGATCCAGCCAGCCCCCCCCCCACTCCCCGATCTGACAGGAGGAAGATTCAGACTATTTGGGCAAGAGAACTGTTGAATGCTGAATTTATCTTCCCTGCCAATAGTCTCAGCATCCTCTTTGGGCTGCATCTGCCCCCTACAGGAAGAGAGGGGACATTACAAAAGCATCTAAACCAGGGGTGAAATGCTCCCAGTTCGGACCGAATCGCCTGATCTGGTAGCGATGGCGACGGGTGGTTCGGAGAACTGGTAACAAAAATCCCTGCGCCCCACTCCCCCCATGCTCAGCTGAGCCGCACAATCATCAGAGGCTTTTTTTTTTTACTTTTAAAAGCATTTTTTCTACAACCTCTTTGGCCGAAAAAATGTTTTTAAAAGTAAAAAAAAAAAAAAAAAGCCTCTCATGATCGTGCGGCTCAGCTGGGATCCTCAGAGGCTTTTAAAAGAAACAAAACATTTTTTTCTTTTAAATGCCTCTGACGATCCCAGCTGAGTTGCCTGATCGGCAGAGGCTTTTTTAAAAAGCCTCTGCCAATCAGGCAACTCAGCTGAGATCATCAGAGCCTTTTGAAAGCATTTTTTAACAACCTCTTCGTCACAGAGGTTGTAGAAAAAATGGTTTTAAAAGTAAAAAAAAAAAATTGGCCACGCCCACCCAGTCACATTACCTTCCCACCAAGCCACACCCACAAAACCGGTAGTAGCAAATTTTAGATTTCACCACTGATCTGAACCAGTGTATGCTAGACAGGTAGTCCTGAATTCACAAGAGTTCGTTTCAGGGGTGAAATGCTCCCAGTTCGGACCGGTTCGGCCAATCCGGTAGCGATGGCGGCAGGTGGTTCAGAAAACCGGAAGCAAAAATCCCTGCCCCCCCCTACGCCCACCCATGCCCACTCAATCGCCCGCTTGCCGCTTCTTTTAAAAAATGCTTTTAAAAGGTTTAAAAAAAAAAAAAGCTCTGACAATCCCAGCTGAGCTGCGCGATCTCAGAGCCTTTTTTTTTCTACTTTTAAAAGCATTTTTTTACAACCTATTCGAATAGGTTGTAAAAAAAATGCTTTTAAAAGTTTTTTAAAAAATCGCGCGCCACAGCTAATCACCATCCGACCCCCCACCCCCATGCCTCCTTTTGGCGTGCGTGGTGCGCACTGCACATGCACGCCAGAGGTGGGTTTCAGCAGGTTCTGACTATTTCTGGAGAACCGGTAGCGGAATTTTTTTTTTTTATTTTATTGAAAAGGTTTTACAAATACATTTTCTCCCCAGTTTCCCCCCCCAGCCCTCCCTATCCCCCCTAACCCTCCCTAACCCCCCTAACCCTCCCCTCCCCCCAGGACTTCCACAAAATATAATCCAAATCAAAATCACATTTTATAAAACTTGAACCCCTCCACCCCCTGTATATTATTCAAATCTTCACAAAATTCAATTATTCTATCCCTGTATAATACATTCAGTTAAAAGCTATCTGATATTTTCTAGTTTGGTATTTATTCTGCACATAATCTATCCACTTTTTCCACTCCCATACATAAGTCTCTTGTGTCCAATCTTTTAGATATGCTGAAATCTTCGCCATCTCTGCAAAACTAGCCATCTCCAAAGTCCATTCTTCAATAGTGGGCATAGCTTCATTTTTCCAATATTGACCTATCAGTAATCTCGCTGCTGTTACCATATACAATATCAGCTTTACTTCACCCAATGTAAAACCCTTAACTATAGCCAATAAAAACAGTTGTGGAGAAAACTGAATTTTTTTCTTCAAAACGTTTTGCATAACCCACCAGATTTTTATCCAAAAAGCCTTCACTTTCTTACAAGTCCACCACACATGATAATATGTGGCATCTAAGCAATCACATCTCCAATAGCGGAAATTTTGAGTAGTGCGGAGAACCGGTAATAAAAATGCTGACTGGCCCCGCCCCCATCTATTCTCTGCCTCCCGAGTCTCAGCTGATCGGGAGGAAAGGGGGATTTTGCAGTAACCTTCCCCTGGATTGGGGAGGGAATGGAGATTTTACAGTATCTTTCTCCCCACCAAGCCACACCCACAGAACCGGTAGTAAAAAAATTTGAAACCCACCCCTGATGCATGCGGACAGCGTGCATGTACATCCAGCGAAATGGTAGTAAACCGGTTCAGATTTCGTTTAGTGACTGTCTGAAGTTACAACGGCATTGAAAAAAGTGACTTTTTCCACACTTACGATGGTTGCAGCATCTCCATTGTGATCAAAATTCAGGTGTTGGCAACTGCTTCCTGTTTACGATGGTTGCAGCATCCCAGGAATATGCTGTCGGCAGAAAAATCCATCTGGTTCAGTTCCAAGCTGGGAGAAAGATGCTGGAAATAAAATGGAGGCTGGAGGCGGTTTGGAAAGAAAGATCTATTTGTTGATGAACAGAACCACCAGCCATTGTGGTTCTGGGGCAGCTGACCCATTGGTTTGATGAGTACATGGATTTTTATAGGTTTCAGAGATGCTGCTGGGCGGGAGGTTGTTTGTGCAATGTCTGAAATTTCTATAAAAATGCAGTTCTTAAAAGAGTTTATTGAAATTCAAGAGGCTTGGAATTGGGGAGTCCAACATTCTCAAAGCTTGGAATTATTCCACATTAATCTATATTACATAACAACCCATTCCCTGCTAGAGTTTGGAAAGGCTCCAGGTTCTTGGTGAAATGACTACGGTGAGCGCAGTGGTGTTGCTTTGTATGAAAGATAGGATAGGATAGGATAGGATAGGATAGGATAGGATAGGATAGGATAGGATAGGATAGGATAGGATAGGGTGCAGAATAAGAAGAGAAGAGAAGAGAGAAAACGGAGAGTAGAATAGAATAGAATAGAATAGAATAGAATAGAATAGAATAGAATAGGGAAGGGAAGAGTTTATTGTCACTTTGAATGTACATTAATTGGCATACATTAAAAATGAAGTTTCGTTGCACACAGCTCTAAAAGGGTCCCCACCTATGGCAGTTCTTTCTTCCAGAAATGATTTCACGTTATGATTTTATTCAATCTCCGAAGGCGTCTGCCAGCACCTTTTCCAGCTATCACCTTTGATTCAAAGGCGCCAACTTTCACAACCTGTCGTTCCAGAAAAGCCGATGTGTTTTAATCAAATGCATTTCTTGGCGAAGGTGCTGGGAGATTCAGGATTTTTTGGGCCCCACAATCCAGTGTTTTTCAACTTCCGCAAAAAAAATCCAGGTGATGATGATTTGGGAATGTGTGTGTGTGCACGCATGTATCTTCTTTCACGGGCCATCACTGGCTATTATTTCCTGAACAGCAAAATAACTCAACATTGCATCTTGCATCCTGGTTCGTAGTAACCCTAAACCAGGGGTCAGCAACCTGCGGCTCTGGAGCCGCATGTGGCTCTTTCACCCCTCTGCTGCGACTCCTTGTCACTCAAAATATGCGTCACAACCACCAATGTGCGACACCCGCCGGCACGCAATTTATTGAGCTTTTCAACCTCCAGTAGGTCAACCATGGATAAATCCAAGAAAAGAAAAGTTTCAGAAGAAAACAGAACATTTAATTCAACTACATATGCTAGTTTTGTGGCCGCTCAAGAAATAGTCAGGCACGGGAAGGGTTTTGTGGCTCCCGGTGTTTTCTTTCCTGTGGGAAACGGGTCCAAATGGCTCTTTGAGTGTTTAAGGTTGCAGACCCCTGCCCTAAGCCCTGCCTTTCTGCAATTACCAGGATTTGCATTCTCCAGCCTCACCTGCAAACTTAATAAATTTAAGAGGTGTGGACTTCAACTCCCAGAATTCCCCAGCCAGCAGGCTGGGGGATTCTGGGAGTTGAAGTCCACTCCTCTTAAAGTATGCAAAAGAGGCCAAGCTTGAAAGAGCTTGCCAAGTTTGAAAAACACCGGGCTAAACCAGGGTTAAAGAAATTTCTGGATAGTTTAACACCCCTTGCATTTGGAATTATTTTACAAATAGACCAAATCCTCCTCCCTTCATAGAGATAGGGAAGACAAATGAGTGGCTTGCATGACATTCATTTCCGGGTCCGATGCGACATATGCAACATGAAGTGGAAGACACAGCCCAGCTGCCCTTAAAGCACGGAAGGGGAGAGAGAGCTGCTTGGGGGAATCTCCTTTAGGCAGAAGTGGTCACATAAACCCTTACAGAATTTCATACGACACGATCAATGCTTGCCCTATGATTTTTTTTTCCCCTTGCCCCTCAAGGTCCGTTGGGAACCGCTAATGTTTCTTTCCTTGCGTGACCTACGAACGAACCTCTTTGGAATCAGAGCAGCCCGCCGGGCAAGAGGCGGTGGGAAAGCCGCGCGCCACGCCCTTCCTTTGCCCGCTATAAAAATGGCGGCCGGGGATCACGTCGACGTCAGGAGCCGCGAATGTGACGCAAAGGCGTTGCTATGACAACGGAAAAGGACGCCGTTGGTGAGTTGGGCAGCGGGGTAGATCGCATGTCGCGGATGCCGGTAACCGCCTCGGATCGCTCCTCTTCCTCTAGCAAGGCAGGAAGGGGACAGCAATCGAGTTTCTGTTCCCGTGACCCTTTCTGGATTCATTGAGTAAAGCTGGAGTAGAGGCGTAGTAAAGTTGGAGTAGAGGCATAGTAGAGCTGGAATAGACGATTCCCTTGTCAGTGTCTGCAGGGACCACCAAACAAAGCAACCTGGGGACCACTTGGGCTTCCTTGGAGAGATCAAACCATAATTTCCCATTGTAAGGTCTACATCTCAGCTTGAAGGAAGCTGTTGGAAGCCTCATGCTTTTAAGATCAGGGTCCTCATTCCAGCTCCTAGGACGTTGAGAGCAGAGGAGCCTGGTTTAGATAGGCTGAGAATGAGATGGGACCGATTGGCTAAGTAAACTTAAGAGTTTAACTGTGGTTTGTTGCATCAATTGCAATTGGTTGGATGCCCAGCATGCTAAAACCATACCTGAGTGGCCCTATAAGGCCTCTTCTCTTGTGTTAAGGTTGTTTTTTTTTAAAAAAATCTCTTTTTAATATCTTCTTTTTATAGCGAGTCGCACAAGGGCATTCTGTGAATTGGGCAGCCATTTAAGAAATAAATAAATACAATGAATACATGGCTAGCTTTAATGACTTCCATGCTTACAATATTCTAAGCTGCAGTCAGGCAACCCGTAGTATAGGATAGAGTAGGAACCCAGCAGTCATGGCTTGGCTGATAAACTCTGGTTTGAGAGTCATAGTTGATTACAGGGAATGAATCTTGCAGAGATGAAATAATGTACTGTCGTGTGTAGTCCCTCCTTGAGTTAGGTGGGTGGTCATCTAGAAATTGATGGATGGATGGACAGATAGGTTAGAAAAACAGATGATAGATAGATGGATAGATAGATAGATGGATAGATAGATAGATAGATAGATAGAGTAGAGATACAGAGAGAGAGATGATAGATAGATAGATGGATAGAGTAGAGATAGAGAGATGATAGATAGATAGATTGGATGGATGGATGGATGATGGGATGGATGGATGGATGATTGGGGGAATGGATGGATGGATGATGGGGTTCTGAGTGGATGATGGGGGTGGTGGATGGATGATGGGGGCTGGTTGGCTGGATGATGGGATGGCTGGATGATTGGGGGGCTGGCTGGCTGGATGATGGGGGGGATGGATGATGGGATGGATGGATGGATGATTGGGGGAGCTGTATGGATGATGAGGGCTGGCTGGCTTGATAGATGATGGGGAGGGCTGGGTGGATGGATGGATGGATGGATGGATGGATGGATGGATGGATGGATGGAGTGTTCTCCATGTATTGGACTATATCTCCCCAAAACCTTTGCCAGCATGGAGATCTTGCCAGGGAGTCTGGGAGGGACCACAGAAGATCACTTGCAGGATTTTGAGCCAGTTGTTTCTTCCTCAGCCTCATTAACCTGGCAGGATTTGGAGGAATATAAGGAAGCATGGAAAGAAAGTCAAGTGATCCATAAACACGTCTTCTTCTTCATTATTATTATTTACTCTGTGTCTTCTCTTCTCCTTAGGCTGTAGCTACCTTTCTATACCAAGAGGTCCTTCCTTCTCATGGCGGGTTCACCTTCCTTTCCCGTTGAGCCACCAGGCAAAACAGTCAGCCTCACTGTGCTGGAGGGCCATGACTTGGTAATTGTCCTCTTTTAGTTCATGCTGGAATTCCTGGATTGAGGATCATCGGAGTGGACCTCCTGCCTCTATGACTATCATCCCAGAATGTTCAGGGTTTTTTTTTTAATCAGAACGATTCAAGGGCATAATATTTTAATAATTTATTTTATTGATTTGATTTGATTTGATTTCTATACCGCCCTTCTCCAGCAGGACTCAGGGCGGTGAACAGCCGAGATAAAACAGAGCATACAAAATTTAAAAAACAGTTTAAAAGGTAATTAAATAATTTCAGCCCACAATTTAAAACAACCCAATTAAAACCAATTTCAAATTAAAACCGAAACGGATGGGATCAAGCCAGCCCGGCTAGGTGAAATAAATAAGTTTTCAGGGCCCGACGAAAAGTCCGGAGGTCTGGTATTGTGCGTATCTCTGGGGGGAGGTCGTTCCAGAGGGCGGGTGCTGCCACAGAGAAGGCTCTCCCCCTGGGGTCGCCAGCCGACATTGTCTGGCGGACGGCACCCTGAGGAGGCCCTCTCTGTGCGAGCGTACTGGCCGGTGGGAGGCTATTGGCAGCAGAAGGCAGTCTCGTAGATACCCCGGCCCTAAGCCATGGAGCGCTTTAAAGGTGGTCACCAACACCTTGAAGCGCACCCGGAAGACCACCGGGAGCCAGTGCAGCTCGCGCAGGAGAGGTGTCACATGGGAGCGCCCCGTCGCTCCCATAATCCCCTGCACGGCCGCATTCTGGACCAGCTGGAGCCTCCGGGTGCACCCCAAGGGGAGCCCCATGTAGAGAGCATTGCAGCAGTCCAGGCGGGAAGTGACGAGTGCCTGAGTGACTGTGCGTAGGGAGTCCCGATCCAGAAAGGGACGCAACTGGCGTATCAGGCGGACCTGAAGCACATATTAATATCTTATTTGACTAGGTACTTAAAAGCTGGTTACTGGCTTTTGGATTTATTTGCTTTGAGATTACTGGTCCGTCTGTAGATTTTTTTGGGATGCCAATCGCCTTGTAGGAAGAAGAAACATCAAATTGCTTGAAAGCAGCTTTTTCATTATTATTATTTTAAAAAGTATTTTGCAGATTTTATTTAATAGCTCTGAGATTTTACCCAAGCCTGTTATACCATCCAAGATCAACAAAAGTAAAGAGAGAAAGAGGGAGAGAAAAAGAGGGAGAGAGAGAAAGAGATGGAGGGAAGGAGAGAAAGAGGGAGAGAGAAAGGGAGAGAGAAAAGAGAGGGAGGGAGGGAGAAAAAGAGGGGGAGAGAGAGGGAAGAAGGGAGGGAAATAGAGAAAGAGGAAGAGAGAAAAAGAGGGAGAGAAAGAGGGAGGAAGGAAAAGAAATAGAGAGAGAGGGAAGAAGGGAGAGAAAGAGAGGGAGAGAGAAAGAGGGAGGGAGGGAGAGGGAGGGAAGGAGGGAGAGAAATAGAGAAGGAGAAAGAAAGGGAGAGGCAGGGAGGGAAAGAAGGAGGGAGGGAGAAAGAGAGAAAGAGAGGGAGAGAGGAAAGGAGGGAGAGAAAGAAAGAGGGAGAGAAAAAGACAGGGAGAGAAAGGGAGAGAGGGAGGGAAGGAGGGAGAGAAAGAGAAAGAGAGAAAAAGGGAGAAAGAAAGGGAGAGAGAAAGAGGGAGGGAGGGAAAGAAATAGAGAAAGAGGGAGAGAGGGAGAGAAAGAGAAAAAGAGAGAGAAAGAGGCAGAGAGAGAAAGGGAGGGAAGGAGGGAGAGAAAGAGTGGGAGAAAGAGAGGGAAGGAAGGAGGAAGGGAAAGAAAGAAAAAGGGAGAGAGAGAAAGGGAGAGAGAACGAGAGAGTGGGAGGGAAGGAGGGAGAGAAAGAAAGGGGCAGAGAGAGAGAAAGAGAGGGAGGGAAGGAGGAAGAGAGGGAGAGAGAGAAAGAGAGGAGAAATTAGTATTGCTCTCGGAGGTGAGGCTACCCTTTGTCCTGTCCTCAGTATTGTGGTCTCCGTTCTCCAGAAAGGCCTCAAAGGAGACAGTCCGGTGACATTTGTGCGCGTTGAGTACAACGGCTTCGTCCTTGGTGACTCCCCCAAGATGGACGCCTCTGCGGAAGGAAGCGTGAAGTATCATTTCACCGCCTCTTTTGACAGCCATCCTGAAGGGTTACACACTTTGGATGATATTGCCCAGAAACCTGTGATATGTGAGTAAAACTACCTCTGCCTACAATGGTTTTGCTGGAAACTAGCACTTCCGTTTTCTGGCCAGACTGTGCTCATAGCAGGCCATTGTTTTGCTTTATGATCACCTCAAAAACATTGTAAAATTGAGTTGGTCACGTGACTGGAATGTTTTATGGTGACATATAACTGTAATGGTCAGGCTCCCTTATGGTCCATGCAGAGGGTAACCGGTAAGTGCTTTGCATTCAATAGCAGTAGCATTTAGACTTTTATAGCGCTTTCCAGTGCTTTCCAGCCCTCTCTAAGCAGTTTACAGAGTCAGCCTCTTGCCCCCAACCATCTGGGTCCTCATTGTACCCACCTTGGAAGGATGGAAGGATTGAGTCAACCTTGAGAGATTCGAACTGCCAAACTGCTGGCAATCAGCAGTCAGCAGAAGTAGCCTGCAGTACTGCACTCTAACCACTGCGCCACCGTGGCCCTTCAAAGATTACAGTCAGCCTTAATACACTCCAGTAAGGCAAATGGAGGATTTTATGGCAGGATGCGTGCAGCAATTGTAGCTTATTCAACAAAGGCTTGTTAAAACAAATTGTAGCATACCGCAATGGCTGGATGACAGGAGTGAGTCAGTAGCGAAGAGGTTATAATACTGTAACTCTTTCTGAAAAGCAACCAGACTGTAAAATGATATAGTGGTTTTTATGCTTGTTTTTCCCAGTCACTGTGATTGAAGTCCTGCCAAAGGAGAAGAAGCAAAAAGATGAAAAGGTGGTGTCGCTCGGACAGGCTGTGGCAGGCCTTCTCCCTCTCCTGCAAGGTGGGTGAAAGAATAAACTTTGCGCTGGGATGTAATCTGGAGTTGCAGAGAGCAAAGAGGTGGTGGAGGATGGATTATTTGGTAGGCAGGAAGAGGGCAAAGACAGGCAGCAGTTCACAGAGTGCATCTATACAGTAGTGGCCAAAATTGTGGGAATCTTTTGGGAAAAGTATATTTTCTAAAATTAGCTCATAACACCACTTTTTTGGGGAGTAGTACCATAAAATTATATATCAATGGAAAGATAATTTAATTATTATTATTATTTATTGAATTTCTATACCGCCCTTCTCCCGAAGGACTCAGGGCGGTGAACAGAATAAGATTTCATATACATGTAATAATTTTTTTAAATTTTTTTTTATAAACAGTAAATAATAAATTGAGTCAATTTAGTGTATCTGCTAAGACCTTGGCATAGAATTTAGATGTTTATGCTAGCCTTGCTTGTTGAAACAGAATGGTCTTCAGGGCACGTCGGAAAGTGCGAAGATCTGGGATTATTCATATTCCATCATGAATGTGATGCAATAACTTTGATGAAGGATTTGCTATTAGAATAGCAGTAACAGTAGAAAGAAGAAAAGTGAAACACGTAGAAAAAACGAGATATACAAAAATTATCACCATAGAAAAAAATGAGATATACAAAAATGATCATCATGTTAGTTAATTCTTAGCTGGGTAACCTTTAGCATGAATTATGGCCTTACAACGTCTTCCCACGGAGTGAACCAAGTTTTTTAGTTCTGCAGCTGTTATCATGTGAAACCAAGATTGAATGATGGCTTCTATTAACTGGGTTTCATTGATGGGTCGCTTCTGACTAACCAGTTTCTTTAGTTGGCTCCATAGATTTTCAATTGGGTTAAGGTCTGGGCTATTCCCAGGCCATTCCAGCAGTGGAATAGGATTATCTTGAAACTCCAAAAAAAAAAAAAAAGTGGTGTTATTAACTATCAGACCTCAAAAATACACTTTTCCCAAAAGGCTTCCACAATTTTGGCCACTACTGTAGTTATGCAGATAATTGCTTTAGTCCGGCAAGATTCTGTCTCTCGGCGAACAGTAATAAAGAAGCTACTCAGAAATAGCTTCACGTATCGTTCTTGGTTCTTTGGCCCTGACAAGCCAGAGTCAGTCTGTCAACAGGCCAACACTTTTGGTTCTTGCACAAAAGAAACCTGCACTGTGCAGAAATGGACCTCTTCCAAGTAACTCTGTGTAGATCTTCAACCCTCATGTCCTTGCTGTAGTGAAGCATATTCTCTCACACTCATCTCTTTGATAACAGTCAGTATTTCACCAGGGTTTAAAGAAATTTGGCTAATCATTTTTCTTTCTTCCAAAACAAAAATTTTCTTTGTCAATGGCCTCAAATTGCCCTGTTCCCAGGGATGAAATGCTCCTGGTTTGGACCGGATCACCCGATCCGATAGCGATGGCAGCGGGTAGTTCAGAGAACCAGTAGCAAAAATCCCTCCCCACCCCCCATGCCCAGCTGAGTCATGCGATCATCAGAGGCTTTTTTTTTTACTTTTAAAAAAAGTTTTTTAAAAAACCTCTTCGGGTGAAGAGGTTGTAGAAAAAATGCTTTTAAAAGGCTCTGACGATCCCAGCTGAGTTGCTTGATCATCAGAGGCTTTTAAAAGCATTTTTTTACAACCTCATCGGCCAAAGAGGTTGTAGAAAAAATGCTTTTAAAAGTAAAAAAAAAAAATTTGGCCACACCCACCTAGTCACATTACCCCCACCCCACCAAGCCACACCCACAGAACCGGTAGTAACAAATTTTACAGTCACCACTGCCCGTTCCCAATGTCAGGCTTGTCCTGACCTGGACATTTAGGAAAGAAAGACCCTTGACTCCGTTCTTTGAAGTGAAAGGATCTTTTACTAAAGTCAAGCGGTAGCAGCATAAGCAAAGCTGGATCTGAATATTACCGTGCAAAGACCACAGTTTTCCCATCTCTCTGGCCCTCCCCTCTTGACCAGTCCATCAGTGTCCAATAGTATTCGTCCTCAATGTTTTGGAAATGGCTTTGAAGTTTGGCCCCTTTTGGGGGGGAGTTTCACATTCCGTTCTCATGGCTCCATCCTTAATCAGCTGGTTAATTCCAGATTGAATTAAATTCCTGTCTAGTTCCTGTCATCCTCCTCCCTTCCCCGTTTCCCAATCTTCCTCCCACCTCCCCTGTATTTTATGGCAGGACGCCAGCAAGGCAAGATATTCTGAAGATGGCAGACCTGACACCCTCCCTCTTTTCTCTGCAGGATTGTGTTCGTTCAATGCAACGCTTCCCCTGTATCCATTGCCTGGTTCTCCTCTGGAGAACCTCCGACCAGAAACCAAGGTATTTATTATTATTTATTATATATTTAGTTTGTCAAACATCTCCTTTAAGCTAAGCATCCCAAATTCCTCTTAACTTCTCGCCGGATTTGGCCTCCAAGCCTCTTACCAGCTTCGTTGCGCTGCTCTCCTTTTTCCAAGTTCATATACTTGCTACATCTACCTTAAATTTGCTCTGATTTTGCAGCCTTCCATCGATATCTTAGTATCTGTCCAGGAGAGCTTACTGACTCAAAATCAGCTGACAGAAGGCAATCTGCTGAGAGTGACCGTTGAAGCTCTCTATTCTGCCCCTGAGGCATTTATCCCCTCCGGTCCTCAATATAATTACATGGTCGGCTTTCAGGTGCCAGCAGTTGGTGAGGTGAGTTGGTAAAATCCCGCGTCCTTTTATTCCTTTTTTCTCCAAGTCTGTTTTTTTTTTTTCTTTGCCTTTTGGTCTGGCAAATGTTGCTTTTCATGATCAGCACGTCCGAAATGTAAAATGTGCTGCAGGTCCCCAGTGGAACCACGTCGAGCCACGAAGAGATGTCAAAAGTTGAATCTTGTTGCTCCAAGATTCTGGTTTGAACCCTTCGCTGGTTCTGCCTGATGGATCTCATTTCTCCATCTTGAGGCAGGGCTTTTCCTGCTGCTCTGTGAATTTGGCTTTTGAGTTGGGTATTTGTTAAGAAATAATCCCATTAGCATATCTTGGACAATCATACATTGTGTTACTAACCCGGTCTTTCCATAGACCAGGGGTCGGTAACCTTCAACACTCCAAAAGAGCCATTTGGACCCGTTTCCCACAGAAAAGAAAACACCGGGAGCCACAAAACCCTTCCCGTGCCTGACTATTTCTTGAGCGACCACAAAACTAGCATAAGTAGTTGAATTAAACGTTCTGTTTTCTTCGGAAACTTTTCTTTTCTTGGATTTAGCCATGGTTGGCCTACCGGGGATTGAAAAACTCAGTTAATCCCATGCCAGCGGATGTCACACATTGGCGGTTGTTACGCATATTTTGAGTGACAGGGAGCCGCAGCACAGGGGTGAAAGAGCCACATGCGGCTCCAGAGCCGCAGGTTGCTGACCCCTGCCATAGACCCATCTGAGTTTATAAATGAAACTACTTTGACAGAGTTAATTAACTAATATTCTCCAGATCCAGGTTTCACGCATGTATGGAAGAGATGAACTTGGTTAGGAAATAGGATCTTTCTCTGAAGGAATAATTGCACGCCAAATGGGTTTATCCTAATTTAGAGAGCAATCTTTGTTGAGTTAAATCAAAGAAAGAAAGAAATGACAGGTCAAAAATTGGATTCATACATTGTTGTTACATCAAAACGGTTTGGTTTAAGATGTGAACTTGGACATTATAGTTTGCAAACTGGTCATTTCGTGATGCGCAAAGCATGAAGCCAGTTCACTGTGGCTTATTCTGTGGTGTGTGAACTCAGAATCTGCGTTCATGAAGAGCAAAGAAGGACCAGTGTGAAAATTTCCTTGTGGCACTAAACGTACACTAACATGTAAGCAGCTTCTCCATTTTCTTTGTAAAAACAGGGAAAAAATGGAAACTTGCTTGATGTACATAAGAATTAAACCTCCTTGTAAATTAAAGAGCTGATATATATGTTGGTTTAGCTAGTCTCCCTTCTGTAACTATTTTACAGGATGTTTTCCAAGATGTGATTGTGTCCAATTTATTTTTCATCATGTACCATCTAATGTCTGAGTTCACAGAAGACATTTAACCTGATTATAAATTAAGGGACTTTCTGAGCTTCCATAACTCAGTGTATAATTACTAACCAAATGGGTTGGTCCATGCAAGCACCAAGCAAAGCTAAAGTTTGACTTGATGGATGAACTTGTTGTGAGAATAATAATAATAATAATAATAATAATAATAATAATAATAATAATAACAACAACAACAACAACAACAACTACTACTACTACTACTACTACTACTACTACTACTACTACTACTACTTTATTATCATTGTACGTGTATACACAGTATACCCATACAATGAAATTCACTTAACACCCAAAGACCAGGCCCAACACACATGACAATCCCCAAACACACTCCCACCCACCACAAATTCCCCACCCTTAAACCACCCAAACATCCACACAACAGACCAAGTAATGCTGTCCAACAGCTCACTGATGGTGGCCCTTTAGTTCATTGTTGAGTGCAATTATAGGTATGGGATAAAAACTATTCAGAAAATGTGTGGTCTGAGTTTTCATTGTTCTGTATCTTCTGCCAGAAGGCAACAGTCCAAAAAGATAGTAAGCAGGATGGGAAGAGTCTCTGAGAATGTTATGCAACTTTCTCAAACAGCGAGATGCGAAGATGTCGTCCAGGGCTGGTAGCTGGAGCCCAATGATATTCTGGGCAGTTTTAATGATTCTCTGTAGAGCTTTTTTGTCCGCTGCAGAGCTGCTCCCATACCATGCAAGAATGCCGTATGTCAGGACACTCTCAATGGTGCTGCGATAGTAGGACAGAAGTAGATGCTGAGATAGATTTATCTTCCTGAGCATTCTCAGAAAGTACAGCCTCTTCTGTGCCTTCTTCACAAGCATGTTAGCATTCATAGTCCATGAGAGGTCCTTTGAGATATAAATGCCCAGAAATTGAGAATGCAACCGCTAAGCTCTTTGTCAATGAATCAATGACTTCTTAACTCTGTGAATTCAAGAAATGTTTCCTGGGACCTTTCCAGAAAGAATGCCCCTTCCTGTTCAAGAATGGGACCCTGAAACTTGGCGGTGAGAGAGAACCTCTGCCTCGGCCCAAGAAATGGCCAGTTGCCAACATTTTAGCTCTCGGAGGACAGAACATCCCAGAGGCTTTTGTTGTTGGTGGGGCCTTTGAGGAGGAAGATGGAGAACTGAATACCCCAGAGGTGAGTATGGCCGAGCTGGAGAAGCAGATTCCTTAGAACGGGAGTTGTGGTCCTCCAGTTTGTTCTGACCAAGGCTTCTTGAGACAGTAACAATCACACGCTTAGTTCCACAAACCTTCTTTTTATTTCAATGGCTGTGAATTATGTTCATTCACAGCCCGTAATGAGTCCCAAGCAGTTTGTGAATAGTCCGACAGACGTCTGCCACAGTCTTTCGGGATCAGACTGATAAGCACCCACCTTTATCTCCCTTGAAACGCTGCCAAATAGCCAATTAGCTTAGCAAGGCCAAACGGAGCACAGAGTCAAAACGGAGCTTCAGAGTTTCAACCGACCAGAACGAACAAAGTTGCTTCCTGCAAAGGCTCATGTCCCTTTGCTCCATCTTTATGTCTTATGGGAGGGGCCAATCCTCCTCCTCCTCCTCCTCCTCCTCCTCCTCCTGTATTGAGTTAATTTTTTTCCCTAGTCCATCAACAAATACTGGTTCCAGTCTATTTACTTGAGTTCTTGAGTTCTAAACCTGAACAGACTGGGTCCTTTTCTCCTCCTCCTCCTTCTCAAGTAGGTATTGACTCCTGAAAGCTATCTAGACAACTCCCTGGAGTTTTCAAGGCAAAATATTCAGAAGCAGTTTTTCTATGCCTTCTTCTTCCCAGGACTGGGAGGGGGGGGCAGGAGGGGAATTGCCATCCAGCCAGCTTTGTGCCTAAAACAAGACTGGAAACCCTGGTGTCTCTGTTTCTAGCCTTGTGCCTTACCTATTTCACCTAATTGCTCTCTCTCTTTCTCTCTCTCCCTCCCCCATCTCTCTCTTTCTTTCTTTTTAAAGGAACGGGAAAGCAGGATTCAGGGTGAAACTATTAAGAAACGGGTCATATGGGACTTGGAAAGGCGTTGCTACCTGGATCCTTTAGCTGTGCTATGGTGAGAAAACTCATGTCATTCGCCAGCAATTCATAACTTAATGGGATGGTTTATGGGAGTCAAGCAATTAAGAGCAGAGACCTGGCGATTTTACCCTCAATTCATACCCCTGGTTCGCCTTCTTCAAATTCTCTAACTGAAGCTGATTTTGATTTGCCATATGTTTATTCACGAGTTCCTTGAGCTAAAGCTCTGCATAAATATTAATAAGCCTCATTACAACAAACTTGCTTGTACTGGTATTTGTCATGCATTTTGCATATTTACTGCCTGCTTGTCCGTCAAGAAACTCAACCGATTGATTGATTTATATCCCACCTCTTGTTATTTTTATAAACAACACAAGGTGGTGAGCATATATAAACACTCCTTCCTCCATTTCTCCCCACACTGCATGCTCCCACTTTTGTGGCATTGGTACAAATGTCCATGCTGCCCTTTTGAGCATCTGTCTACAAAACTATTGTAACCGGTTTGCTCTTGGTCCCTTCCTGTTTGGCAGCTTCCGCAGGCGGATTGTCGACTGTCGTTGTTGGCCTGTGGAAATTACTAGAGTGCCCCTAGTCACATCCACGAAAGTCAAAGCTGGCAAAGGAGACAAGGTAAGGTGCTAGTTCTTCATCCTCATCCTCATTACTGCTGTATTTTAATCCCACCATTTTTTTTCCTTTTCACAAAATATTTCATCAGCTCAAGACAGCAAACATAATGCTCCTCCCTTCTGTTTTTCTCACCGCCACAAGCCTGAGAGCTGGGTTGGGCTGAGAAGGAGGGACTGGCCCCAAATCACCCAGTTGGCTTTCATGGCTGAGGCGGGACTAGAACTCACGGTCTCCTGGTGATTCACCCAAGGTCACCCAGCTGGCTTTTCATGCCTAAACTGCACTACAACTCACCATCTCCTGGTGATTGGCCCAAAGTCACACAGCCAGCTTTAATCCCAAAGTGGGGGGACTAGAATTCATCAACTCTCGTTTCATGGCCAGCACATTCACCACAACTCTGGGCTCTCTCTTTACTATAAAAGTAGGTTTGCTAAGATTAAAGTTAGGTGTGGTTTTACATGTGCTACCTAAAGATGATGTCAACTCGCAAAGCATCCCTGACCTGCTCTCGGGTTGCCATAGCCAAGGGGGATGGGAAAACAAACTTGCAACTACGGCGAAGCAGCATAGCAAACAAAAACAAAAACACATTCCAGACATTTCTCTGTCAAGGCTGTCTCCCAGGGTTACCCATAGTGGCCAGAGGGGAGTGATCTTTACAACCTGTGAAATTGCTCTGTTGGCAAATGTGACTGATGATACACCCTGGAGGGAGGGGGAAACAGGGTCACTCCTGGGCCATAAATTACAAGGGGTCAGAGTTGGCTTCACTTAGAACGTGCTGACATGAAACTCCAAATAAATAACTGGATTTCTTTTGAAGCTTGGCTCGAGGGTCATGATTTAATTAGGGCATCTGTCAGAACCCTGACAGATGACTTTTTAAATACTACAGAAGGGATTCTGGCTGCGGGTGGTCCTTGACTTAGGCCCAGTAGCTTGGTGACCATTTGAAGTTAAGACCCAGATTCAAAATTCTGATGGTTGCTTTTCCCGTCCTGCAGCCATGGAACTGTACTTCAGTATTAAGTAGGTTTGCTGCCTTGAGCCGATAAAATACAGCTGTTTGCAGCATCCCACAGTCACGCAACCACATTTTACTTTGGTTTAGCCAAAAAAAAACCTTAATATTTGCTTCCACTGGTTGGCTTAACCTAGAGGTCTCCCAAACCTTAGGCTATGACCCACTCCTGGGCCTTGAGCCCTTCGGTACTGGGCCATGGAAGTGCTGGGTGAGCACGCACACATCCTCATTTGCGCGAGCAGCAGACAAGCATGGATGCATGCAGATGGAGCTCCTGCCTCCCCCCACAAGCCAGTCCACAAAGCCATGAAGAATAATTCTGGGAGAACTCTGGCTTAACCACCATGCTGTTTCCTTCACGAGCGTTGCAAAAAAAGATTGTAAAATCAGTCACACGAGTGATCCGATATATGACCGTTACAGGTTACAACAGTGCTGAGCAGACTCCATTAAGACCAGGGGTCGGCAACCTTAAACACTCAAAGAGCCACAAAGGTCCTAACCGGAAGTCCCCCATTCAATTCTGGAGCCGACCGGAAGTCTGGTTCCCCCACCATAGAGTCTCCTCCTACCCTGGCATCCTTTTTCCTCTGCCTATCCTAACTGAAAGCCCTATCAACTGTGGAGCCGACCGGTGACAGGGAGCCACAGCAGGGGGATGAAAGAGCCACATGTGGCTCCAGAGCTGCGGGTTGCTGACACCTGATTAAGGCCATAACTCAACTACCTATACTTCATTTGGGCTGCTCTGACTATCCCCAGGGAAGATGATCATTTTCACTGTCCTTTTCTAGGGAAGTGGAGCTATTGCTGGAGCAGAAGAAGATCCCATTTCCTTTCACGGCGTGGCTTACGTCAATTTAGTGCCTCTGCTGTATCCAGGGGTGAAGCGGATCCGGGGAGCATTCCGAGTTTTTCCTTACCACGACAGTGAAGTGTTTGAAAAGGTAACAGCTTCATTTGTGTGGCTGTTCGGTCAAGATTCTCTTGCTTTGGGTTTTCTTTGAAATGGTTATTGCCATCTTGCTTCCGGGAGGCTTAGAGCAGTTTTGGGCCTGGAAAGCCTCTTGCGCCAACCTGGAAGCCAAAACAGGGTGCAGGGGGTCGCACGAGCCCCCCCACTGCCCCTGTGCCCCATTTTGGGCCTGGAAAGCCTCCTGCATCAACCTTCACACACACACATCCCATGCATGTGCCCCGCCTACCTGTGCAGGCGCATGCGTGTCCCCTGCATGCGCCCCACCCCAAAGACCAGCTGGCTGGCAGAAGGCGTGCGCACATACTTGGCGGAGCTGGGCTGGGTCGACGGCTGGCGTGCCCACAGAGCGGGTTGTGCGTGCCACCATAGGTGTCAGCCTTGGAAGCCATATTAGGCCGGAAGCTTCAATGCTGCCATCTCCTCGTGTGTGTGGGAAAGTAGGAGGGGGGATTTAGGAGAGGAGAATTAGTAGACATAATAGCATTCTTCCTATCGGTCAAGGTCAGAGGCTGAGTCGAGGTGGAACGGATGTTGATTGGAGCATGTGACCGACTGGGGAGAAATGGGATGGTTTTGGGAGCTTTGAATTACTGAAGGAAAGCCGGGCTTTTCAGATTCGGGATTTCCCAGATGTGCCAGTTTGCCTATTCTAGTAAAGAGGACTTTGGAAAATACTTGCTTCCGTGTCTTTACTTGGAGAGGGTTTTTTTTTTCTGGAATGCTGACAATAGGTTTGCCATCACTGCCCTAGCCATATGTCTGGTCTAGTCTAACAAAAAGAAAGACTAGAGGTGATACGATAGCAGCCTTCCAGTGCGCGAGAGGCTGTCATTCAGAAAAAGGGAGAACCTCGTCCAAGGAACCGGAGAGCAAGATAAGAAATAATGGGTGGAAGATCTTTAAAGATCTTGGGAAGAGCCTGTAGTACAGTGGACTAAAGCACTGTTATTAACATCTGCTGCTTGCAATTACTGCAAGTTCAAATCTCACCAGGCTCAAGGTTGACTCAGCCTTCCATCCTTTCTAAGGTAGGTGAAATGAGGACCCAGTTTGTGGGGGCAATAAGCTGACTTTGTATAAATATACAAAAGGATGAAGGCTATTGCTTAGCGCATTGTAAGCCGCCCTGAGTCTTCGGAGAAGGGCGGCATATAAATTAAAGAAAAAAAAGAAAAAAAGAGAGAGAGAGAGAGAGAGAGAGAGATCCAACCTGGAAGTAAGAAGTTGATCAATGGAACAACTTGCCTCCCGGAGTTGTTGCTGCTCCATGGTTAGAGATTTTCAAGAAAAGCTTGGACAGCTATTTGTCTAGGATTGTATAGCGTCTCCTGCTTGAGCAGAGAGCTGGACTAGAGGACCTTCAAGGTCCCTTCCAACCCATGGCGGCACAGTGGCTAGAATGCAGAACCGCAGGCTACTTCTGCTGACTGCTGGCTACCAACAGTTCAGCAGTTGCATTCTGATCGGCTCAAGGTTGACTCAGACTTCCCACCCTTCCGAGGTGTGTAAAATGAGGGCCCAGATTGTTGGGGACAATATGCTGACTCTATAAACCACTTAGAGAGCGCTGTAAAAGCACTGTGAAGTGGCATATAAGTCTAAGTGCTATTGCTATCGCTGTAGCTGATTGGATGTTGCATTAGGAGCTCTGGTGGCGCAGTGGTTAGAATGCGGTATTGCAGGCTGACTCTGCCCGCCATCAAGAATTCGATAGAGGATAACAGTCAGAATATTTTTTTAAATTTAATTAAGGAAATTGTAATAGATGAAATAGTTTTAATGATATATTGTGATGAAAGTAGAAATGATTAAGATGTGGTTCGGAGGAACGTATGGGGAAATTATTTGATGTATGAAAATGGAATTAATTGGAATAGCTATGCCTATATATATATATATATATATATATATATATATATATATATATATATTCATTAAGTGTTTGAATATATAAATAGAAATTATAATATTTATAGAAGTAACCGATTATATTAAAATGTTGGACTATATTACTTAAGAAAATGTAAGCCATAAAATAGGTGGGCTCACTATTCCTGTAAGAATTGAACAATTGTAACATCATAAAATTAATTACTGTATTCTGATGATGGATTGGGGTTTAATATAGAATAGAACGAAAATTGGAATATGGTTAAAATTAGAGATGAAAATGAAGGGTAAAATTGGTAAAAAAAAGATGAAAGTGAACACTATGGCAAAAAGGAGTTATAGAAATGGTAATCTTAGTTGTAAAATTAAAAATTGTTTAAATTTGTTACTCTGATCAGCAAAAATACATTGTATGTTTGTGTGTGTGTGTGTGTATGTGTAAAAAATAAAGAAAAACTTTTTACAAAAAAAAAAAAAAAGAATTCGATCCAGATCAGCTCAAGTTTGACTCAGCCTACCGTCCTTCCGAGGTGGGTAAAATGAGGACCCAGATTGTTGGGGAGGCAAAAGGCTGACTCTGTAAACTGTTTAGAGAGAGCTGTAAAGCACTGTGAAGTGGTATATATAAGTCTGGGTGCTATTCCTATTATTCTATGTTCTACATCCATGATGGCGAACCTATGGCACCTGTGCCACAGGTGGCACGCAGAGCCATATCTGTGGCCACATGAGTGTTGCTGTAGGTCAGTTCCAGCGTGGTTCCAGCATGCACCAGCCAGCTGATTTTTCAGGCCTTCCGGGCCCACCGGAAATTGGGAAATGGGCTGTCTGGCCTCCAGGGGGCGGGGAAGGCTGTTTTTGCCCTCCCCAGGCTCCAAGAAAGCCTCTGGAGCCTGGGGAGGGCGAAAAACGGGTTTACCAGGCCCACTGCTAACCTTTTTGCCATCACGTGCATGTGGGGGGGGGCATGGGGGTCATTGAATTATGGGTTTGGGCACACGCCCACGCGACCACCCAGCACGACCCCCACTTTTGGCACACAACAGCAAAAAGGTTAGCCATCACTGTTCTACACTCATTTCCCTCAGAGAGGGTCTGTTGACGGTATACAATAAAAGTGAAACCTCATTCTCACTTGGTGCCCTTTTTGTTTCAGACCAAGTGCCTCTTCAGTCTTTTTCGTGATGTGGGCCATCAGGCAATTCTTAATAAATTTGGGCCCATAGGAATGTACAGTCCCCACACCAAAAGCATCCTCGGGAAGAACATCAAAGATGACAAGCAACGAGAAATAATGCTGAGGAAGGTGAGAATGGCAACAAAATCAGTGCAAGTCCTTTTGAACAGGGGTCTCCAGTCACCCAGCCAGCCTTCATGCTGAAGGCGGGACTAGAACTCACAGCCTCCCAATTGGTTCAGAGTCACTCGACCAGCCTTCATGCCTAAGGCGGGACTACAACTCCCAGTCTTCTGGTGATTGGCTCAGAGTCACTCAGCTAGGCTTCATGCTTAAGGCGGGACTAGAACTCCCAGTCTTCTGGTGATTGGCTCAGAGTCACCCGGCCAGGCTTCATGCTTAAGGCGGGACTAGAACTCCCAGTCTTCTGGTGATTGGCTCAGAGTCACCCAGCCAGGCTTCATGCTTAAGGCGGGACTAGAACTCACAGCCTCCCAATTGGCTCAGAGTCACTCGGCCAGCCTTCATGCCTAAGGCAGGATTACAACTCCCAGTCTTCTGGTGATTGGCTCAGAGTCACTCAGCTAGACTTCATGCTTAAGGCGGGACTAGAACTCCCAGTCTTCTGGTGATTGGCTCAGAGTCACCCGGCCAGCCTTCATGCCTAAGGCGGGACTAGAACTCCCAGTCTTCTGGTGATTGGCTCAGAGTCACTCAGCCAGGCTTCATGCTTAAGGTGGGACTAGAACTCCCAGTCTTCTGGTGATTGGCTCAGAGTCACCCAGCCAGGCTTCATGCTTAAGGGGGGACTAGAACTCACAGCCTCCCAATTGGCTCAGAGTCACCCAGCCAGGCTTCATGCTTAAGGGGGGACTAGAACTCACAGCCTCCCAATTGGCTCAGAGTCACCCAGCCAGGCTTCATGCTTAAAGGGGGACTAGAACTCACAGCCTCCCAATTGGCTCAGAGTCACCCAGCCAGGCTTCATGCTTAAGGGGGGACTAGAACTCACAGCCTCCCAATTGGCTCAGAGTCACCCAGCCAGGCTTCATGCTTAAAGGGGGACTAGAACTCACAGCCTCCCAATTGGCTCAGAGTCACCCAGCCAGGCTTCATGCTTAAGGGGGGACTAGAACTCACAGCCTCCCAATTGGCTCAGAGTCACCCAGCCAGGCTTCATGCTTAAAGGGGGACTAGAACTCACAGCCTCCCAATTGGCTCAGAGTCACCCAGCCAGGCTTCATGCTTAAGGGGGGACTAGAACTCACAGCCTCCCAATTGGCTCAGAGTCACCCAGCCAGGCTTCATGCTTAAGGGGGGACTAGAACTCACAGCCTCCCAATTGGCTCAGAGTCACCCAGCCAGGCTTCATGCTTAAGGGGGGACTAGAACTCACAGCCTCCCAATTGGCTCAGAGTCACTCAGCCAGGCTTCATGCCTAAGGCGGGACTAGAACTCACAGTCTCCCAGTTTTTAGGCCAGCACCTTCACAACTAGACCGAACCGGCTCTCTAGAATAGATTAGAATAGATTTCAAAGCACCACACAGCCCTACGAGAGCACAGAGGAAAAGGAGAACCATCCATTTTAGTTTCAAGCTCGTCCCTCTTGCCAATTTTAAATTAGGTGGAACACCCCCCCCCCCCCACCCCCCAGAAGTCAAACAAAGGAAGCTTTTCAGAAATGATATCCAGTAAAAGACCTTTTTTTTTTGCTTCCTCTTCAGCCCTCCAATATTGTAAAAAAGGACATCTCTGAGATCACAGTAGAGGCTGCCCTGTCTCAATGCCAGAACTTGGAAGGACAGGTAACGCCAGGGTTTTAAAAGATGTCAAATGTAGACTATTTGTAGATTCCACTTGGACTCTCAAGGATGGATGTTGAACTACGTGAAATGAGAATTATGAACTATGAACTATGAACTATGTGAATGAGTGCTTCTGAATATCCTCAAAGTGCATTCCTCCCTCTCCCCCCCTTTCTCTCTCTCTGTCTGCCTCTTCCTTCCTTCCTTCCTCCCTCTTTTTCTTTCTTTCTCTGCCTCTTTCTTCCTCCCTCCCTCCCTCCCTCCCTATCTTTCTTCTTTCCTTCCTTCCTTCCTTCCTCTCTTTCTTTCTTTCTTTCTTTCTCTGCCTCTTCCTTCCTTCCTTCCTCCCTCCCTCTCTTTCTTTCTTTCTTTCTTTCTCTGCCTCTTCCTTCCTTCTTTCCTTCCTCCTTTTCTTTCTTTCTTTTTCTTTCTTTCTTTCTTTTTCTTCTCACATCACTGAGTTACTTCTGCTCTGTCTTGCAGCAATGGCTTGACATGAACCTAGCTAGTTCTCCAGATGTTTAGATTTAAATTCCCATAATTGAAACCTAATGTGTTTGGGATAAATTTGGGTGTGTATGTGTGTGTGTGTGGCTGTGGAAACATTCTAGGATGTTGGCTATGCTCCTGAAAAAAATATCAACCCCTTTCTTTTTCCAGCAATATGTAGAAAACGGAAGTTTTATTGTGTTAGAGTTTACATTGGACAGAGCTTTGGTGCCCAAGCGTCTGCCAGAGGAACTTGCCAGCCGGTAAGTTTTATATCTAGATATATGTATATAAGTGGGCGTGGGTCAAAGTCTGTTTTTGACACTCCCATGATAGTGAGAATGATTAATCAATGGCTAACAGCTTCCCTCCCAGAATTATTGATACTCCATCACTGGAGGTTTTCAAGGAAAGATTAGGCAACCATTTGTCCAGGATGATATAAGGACTCCTGCCTTAGGCATGGGGTTGGACTAGAAGATCTCCTAAGTCCCATCCATCCCTGTGATTCTATGCATCTTTGGTAGTGCTGCTCATTCTCTGTCAGTGGAAGGCATTATCCTTGCTTATCCCATTCATTCTACAGCATATATTGGACCAGATCAGTCACGACAACGGTTTTGTGTCTTACTGAATTTTGATCTCATCATGAGCCCAGGAAGATAGGTTGGTCACCCAACCGTACATTGTGCCCAGGCAGATTTCAGGACCTTGGAGAGCACCTACAAAGCTTATAAACTCAGCTAAATTAGCCTGTTACAAAAATTTCTGCGGGGAGACCTTATCCCAGGTTGTCCCAAAGGTGCTTTTTCAAGAAGCAACTGGACTTTCTTCATTTTTTTAAAAAAAAGACATTTAGCTTCTCGTTCGAGAAACTCCTTCAGGACTGAAGATGCTTCTTGGATAAGAAGCGAAACATCTTCAAGGGGGAGAAAAAAAGTACTTTGTTTGCTCGCGACAAAATACCTTAGGCCACCAGACTTGAAATTCTGGGCTTCGACAACTTAGAACTTCGCTGCCTTCGGTCTGACCTAAGCATAGCTCATAAAATTATCTGCCACAATGTCCTACCTGTCAATGACTACTTCAACTTCAATCACAACAATACATGAGCACACAAGAGATACAAACTTAAAGTGAACCGCTCCAAACTTGATTGCAGAAAATAGGACTTCAGCAACAGAGTAGTCAATGCCTGGAATGCTCTACCTGACTCTGTGGTTTCTTCCCCAAACCCCCAAAACTTTAACCTTAAATTGTCTACTGTTGACCTCACCCCATTCCTAAGAGGTCTGTAAGGGATGTGCATAAGCGCACCAATGTGCCTTCCGTCCTTGTCCTAATGTTCCCTTTATTTGTATTCATTTTATGTATTCAATTCATGCTTATACTTATATATATATTATCTAATACGTACTTGACAAATAAATAATGAAAAGAAGAAAACCCGAGAAAGTCCAGCTGCCTCTTGAGGAAGCATCATGGGGACAACCATGGCCTGGATGGCTGAAGATCCCTATAAACACGTATCCCAGGTTGAAACAATGTGAACGCACAATCCTTTGCGTGTTCATTCTGCAAGCTGATCCTGTTAAGTTTCATAGAACGGACTTCAAAGTAAACCATGAATGGGATGGCAAAATGAATGGTCAGGTTATCAAAACAATTCCCAATTTGTCCTTTCTTCCAACACTTGCAGAGTGAAAGAGATGATTCCTCCACACCCACCACTCCCTCGAAGGACTGCAGGAGCCATGAAGGTATGGAATGAAGCTTACTCAGTAGTTCTCCTTCTGCATTTTTTTTCTTAAAAAAGAAAATCTTTGCCATTCTGGTCTAGTTTTTGTATCGAGAACAGACAACAGTGCAGCTGAAAGAGATTGCTCCGATGTGCCTAATTTTTCCTATTGTGCGTAAATTATTTGCATTCCTTGTAGGAGAGCTAAGAATAGCGTCCCCGTCCGTGGTCTAGTTTCTGGGATTTCAATTAGACGTTGTTTGTTATGTCTGCTGTTTTTTATGTCCAAGCGTGTTTTTAAAACCTTAGGGGCTAGAAATGTCTTAATTTAAAAACAATAATAACAGCTGAGATTCTCTGGAAGGCAGCTTTAACGTCACATTAAGGAAACTCTTCATTTTCATATGAAATCACTTCCCCCTCCCCGCCCGATCCATGTCCTTGACAACTTTAAGAGATGTGGACTTCAAGTCAGGGGTGAAATCCAGCAGGTTCTGACAGGTTCTGGAGAACCAGTAGCGGAAATTTTGAGTAGTTTGGAGAACCGGCAAATACCACCTCTGGCTGGCCCAAGAGTGGGGTGGGATTGGAGATTTTGCAGTATCTGTCCCCCAGGAGTGGGGAGGGAATAGGGATTTTGCAGTATCCTTCCCCTGCCATGCCCAGCAAGCCACACCCACCAAGCCACGCCCACAGAACCGGTAGTAAAAAGAAATTGGATTTCATCACTGCTTCAAGTCCTAGAATTCCCCAGCCAGCTTGCCAATTGCTGGTTTTGATCAGTCCTGAAACCAAGATTGCCAATTCCTCAACCAGAGTTTATTCTCTCACACGCAGATAAATATGAAAGTGAGACTGAAAAGGTCACGCAACAAATCAGACGGATGCTGCAATATATAGATATAATATTTTAGAGAAGTTTTTCCACAGAATAAAAACAAAACACATTTGAAGTTCAAGATAAGAGAAAAAGGGAAAGCAAAAAAGAAAGGAGTAGCAATCTGGGATGCAGGGAACTGGGGGCTGGCAATCTCTGGGTCTCTCCTTTATCCGGTAAGATTTGCCAGCCAGAATTCACCGATGACCATGGTTCATTGCTCTATCACCATTTCGTCCCCTTCAGAAACATCTAGCTGACCATAGAATCTTACCCATAAGCCACATCCAGCATGTGCTTTTGACCTCATGCCTGTTACTCAGTCCTTGAGATAATTGCCAGGCCAGGAGCTTCCAACCACAAAGCTGTAAATTAAGTTCTGGCAAGCAGTCTCTGACACACGAAACACAATGAGCCAAATCTTCAGAAATCCGAACGGTTGTCTCCTATAACCACCACTCCCCTTTGCTTCTATTTATTCCCCAGCCAGGGAGGGACCATTCAGTGTCCACGTGTGTCTTGCTTCCTGAGTCGACTCCTTGTCCTCCGTTGTTCTCCACTCCTAACTGCTCTGTGCATACGCACATCTGGAACAGGCCCCAGCTGTTTTTCCTCCCCACTTATCTCTGCCTCCAAAGGCAGCTGCCTCTCCGCTGGCTGGGAAATGTCAGGCGGCCCTGGCTCCATCTCTGCTTCCGACGTAGAGCATCCATCAGAGCCCACACTAGAAGCCAAGGGATTCTTGTTGCCGTCTGAACTTGATGGTTTTCTTGCTGACGTTCCATTACCATACTAGGTAACATCATCAGTCCTAGCCAGGTTTGGTAATGAAACGTCGGCAAGAAAAGCACCACGCTCAGAGAGCACCAAGGACCCCACCCTCAGCTACCCATACCCTCTTCTGTTGGTACCCTAGAAGCTCTTTGTGTCTGGATATGCAAGGATGAGCTTGTACTAGTCTTGATGATTGGGGTGTGACAGTTCAAGCAATGGAGAACAGCAACCAAGAGTGTTCGCCAGGAGTGTTCGCCACCTTCTCATGGAGAAATGATTTCTGACCACTTGAAGGTTTTCCTGGCTTCTTGATTTCCTTAGGCCGTAGAAGATTACCACACGCAGATCACCAGCATTGCTGCATCCATCCTAGATGAGTATCATGAGCTCTTTGGAAGGCAGGTGGTCCAAGGGCTTGTCGTTGATTCTCAGATCCTGGAAGACCAGAAATGTCAACTCAACTATGAGCTGAACACCTCGGGGAAATATTTTGCCTTTAAAGAGCAACTCAAGGTATTTTGGTCACGATGCGGATCTCTCTTTGCAAAAGTGACGTTTAATTGCAGAGGGTGGAATGACACCTTGAAGTGTCACATTTTCTCCTCGTGGGACTCTTCTTTTAGCATTTCAGAAGCCCCCTGTCAGCTGCCACCTTATGCTTGCGTGTGCTTCGCTACCATGCGGGTGACAGTTTGCCATGAACTCTGGAGAGGGAGGATGGGAGGGAAGGATGCTTGGGGGAAAACGAAAGTAACTTCTGTATCTCCCCGAGATGCTGCTTCAAGGTCAACCAGCTGGGAAAGAAAAGCAGCTGCATATCAACCTATGCTTGAAGTGGCTGTTCTGAAATTATCTTGCTTGAACCTGATTGGTCATAGAGGGTGGGCAGCGATGGGAGACAGTTAAGGGAGGAAAAAGTTGTAATTAAGAATTTTGGCCCGCGATTCTCAGTTCTGGCATTGCAACCCTGCAATATACTTGGCTTCTAATCAAACTATATCTTTCTCAACAAATGGAGCCAAGGATCGTTTCTGTTTAGAGGTTTAAATGATGGCAGGTCTAACTCCCCCTTTCTTTAGATCTGTAGTGATCCACCAGGCAGTGGAATCTAACATCTCATAAATTAGTCGCTCCTTCCCTTCCGAATATATGGGGTCCTTGGGATTAAGTCTTTCTCATCCTTGCAGCACGCGGTTGTGAAAATTGTGCGGGAGAAGTACTTGAAAACAACCGCCTTTGAAACTCTGGACCAACTCCAAGCTTTCCTCAGTGAGTTGTACGTCTACCTGATGGATCAGATGCACGTTGCCTTGAATCAGGTGAGCTTCGAAAGAGCAAAACTGTCCCTCCTTTTACTGTTGAGTTTGTTGGGTGATCTATGTCAGGCGCACCAAGAGAAGAGTCATTGGGGTGGGGGCAAGATGGTTTAATCCAGCTTTTGGCTTGCAACACAGCTCTGTGTCCCACATGCTGATGGTGAAAGTTTAAGAAGACTGCCTATACAGGTACTCCTTGACTTACAACCACAGTTGACTCCAGCATTTCTGTGGCTAAGAGTATTGTGGCCCATCAGATTCGGATGATGAGGATGTTGGGGAGGAACTTGGGCCAGTTCTGGAGTCTGAGGAAGGCTCTGATGGGTGCTCTGCATCGTAAGAAGAGCCAGGGCTGTCTGGCTCTTCTATATTATTATAGAATATATAATATATATTATATTATAAATATATATTATATATTTATAATATAATATAATAACTTTGTCATTGTACGTATATACACAGTATACCCATACAACAAAATTCGCTTAACATCCAAAAACCAGGTCCAACACACATAACAATCCCCAAACACACCCCCACCCACCACAATTTCCCCACCCCTAAACCACCCAAACATCCACACAATTCCCCAGCCAGCAGAGAGGCAACTGCCTCTGGAAGCTGAGATGAGTGAGGAGGAAGAACAGCTGGGACCTGTTCCAGACGCGCAGAGCTGTTAGGAGAGGAGAACAACGGAGGACAAGGAGTCGACTCGGGAAGCAAAGCACACGTGGATGCTGAATGGCCCCTCCCTGGCTGGGGAATAAATAGAAGCAAAGGGGAGTGGTGGTTGTAGGAGACAACCGTTCGGATTTCTGAAGATTTGGCTCATTGTGTTTCGTGCCTCAGAGTCTGCTTGCCAGAACATGACCTGGAGGACTGAGAATCTCTATAGACTTTCAGTCATAAGTCATTTTTTCAGTGCTGCTATAACCTAAAGCCGTCACTAAATGAATAGTTTGTAAGTCGAGGATGACCTCTGCTTGAATAGATATTGCCAAGTGCTGAGTTGAGCCCTCCTTTAACTGAGTGGCATGTTCATTATTCTATAAAGCCTATAAATTATTATTTATAATTTTTTTATTATAATTTATCATTATTCTATAAAGCCTATTCTATAAAGCCACTCTACAAAGTCTCAGTAAGACCACACCTACAATACTGCATCCAGTTTTGGTCACCACACTATAAAAAAGATGTTGAGACTCTAGAAAGAGCGCAGAGAAGAGCAACAAAGGTGATTAGGGGACTGGAGGCTAAAACATATGATGAACGGTTGCAGGAACTGGGCATGGCTAGTCTAGTGAAGAGAAGGACCAGGGGAGACAGGATAGCAGCCTTCCAATATTTGAGGGGCTGCCACAGAAAGGAAGGGGTCAAGCTTTTTCCAAAGCACCCGAAGGCCAGACAAGGAATAATGGATGGAAACTGATCAAGGAGAGATTCAACCTAGAAATAAGGAGGAATTTTCTGACAGTGAGAGCAATCAACCAGTGGAACAGAAGCTGCCTTCGGAAATTGTGGGAGCTTCATCACTGGAGGCTTTCAATAAGAGATTGGACTGCCATCTGTCAGAAATGGTGTAGGGTCTCCTGCTTGGGTGGGGGGTTGGACTAGATGACCTACAAGGTCCCTTCCAACTCTGTTAATCTGTTATTCCCCTGCCCTGACTAGGTGCTGTCCCTCCAGACTCCAAGTCCTCCTCCTCCCGTATACACCACCTTGGAGCAGCTCCAGCTGTTTGCTCGAGAGGCCCAGGTCAACGGAGAGTACGGTTTGGCATCAACTTACTATCAGGAGGTAAGGGAACTCCTCCTCCTCCTCCTTTCCAAGTAGAACAACTTTGGAAACAATGATAAAGAAGAACACATGTAACTCAGGGTTGAAATGGGGGGTCCTTGGTGCTCTGTGAGCTTGGGCGGTTTTCTTGCGGACGTTTCATGGCCCACTCTAGGTAACGCTATCAGGACTATCGTTGGGTAATGAAATGTCTGCAAGAAAGCCATCAAGCTCCCAGAGCACTTTTTTTTTTAAGAATTGGAAGCATTCAGATGCTCTCTTTCAGTGGAAGGCTGGCTGGGGAATTCTGGGAGTTGAAGTCCCTGTCATGCCTGGAAGCCATATTACCTGTGTGCCTTGAGGATCCAGGCCTGCCACAATCATACCGTGGGAAGTTGGGAGAGGGGATTGCATGAGTGAAGTAGAGATAGCCATAACAAACCTCTCTAAGAGAAGTTCAGGGCCATGGGGTCCGGCAGCTGTGCAAAGAAGAAATTGGAGGATGTCTTCTGTTGGGGAAAGAACTGATTGGAGCTGGATGGACATGTGGGAGATGTGGGCAAGGTCTTGAACTTTCTTGTGGGTGTGGAAAACCCGGAAGCTTTCAGATTCAGGTTTTCCCAGCTGTGCCAATATGACATTTATTTATTTATTCATTTATTAGTCATATTTCTATGCCGCCCATTCTCCGAGGACTCTGGGCGGCTTACACCAAAGACAGTATACTAAGTAGCATATTGCCCCCAACAATCTGGGTTCTCATTTTACCCACCTCGGAAGGATGGAAGGCTGAGTCAACCTTGAGCCGGTGAGATTTGATCCGCTGATCTGCTGAACTAGCAGTCAGCTGAAGTAGCTGCAGTACTGCACTCTAACCACTGCACCACCTTGGCTCATCTCTAATAAAAGTTAGCTTTGAGGAACTTCAAGCCTCGGAGTTTGATTTCATTGGGAGTGTTACTTGGAACCCTGACAGTCCACTTATCTTAAAAGTTGCCACAGTTGGACACCCTTGGTCTCGATAGATTCTTATTCAAGAATTCCTGGAACATACATACACTAGGGAGACGGGAAAGCTCAAATAAAGTCAAAAAACATTTTATTGTATTCGGAAGTTGATATCCTATTGAGCTGTGGTGGCCCAGTGGTTAGAATGCAGTATTGCATGCTAATTCTGCCGACTTCCAGCGGTTCGATTCTTATCGGCTCAAGATTGACTCAACCTTCCATCCTTCCGAGGTGGGTAAAACAAGGACCCAGATTGTTGGGGGCCATAGGTTTACTCTATAAACCGCTTAGAGAGGGCTGTAAAGCACTGTAAAGTGGTATATAAGTCTTAAGTGCTCTTGCTCTTGCTATTTTTGATCTTCAGATCTTTCCATTCAAACTTTTCAAACAGAATACTAACTTAGGCGATGGTCCTTCTGTCTCCAGAGGTTGTCTCGAAACCCCCAAGATATCCAGAGCTGGTTGGATTATGGAGCTTTTTGCCTGTTGACTGAAAACAACCTCAAGGCCCAGGAATGTTTCCGTGAGGCGGTCGGGCTGGATGCCAATCACCTGCCCAGGTAACACTTCTTCAAGAGTTCTGGAACCCTGGTGAGATATTAACTAGGTAGCTGGGGGAGGGGGATACATATTTTTTTATTCAGAATATGTATCAGTGGTGAAATTCAATTTTTTTTACTACCAGTTCTGTGGGCGTGGCTTGGTGGGCGTGGCATGGGGAAGGATACTGCAAAATCTCCATTTCCTCCCCACTCCTGGGGGAAGGATGTTGCAAAATCCCCATTCCCATCCCACTCCTGGGGGAAGGATGCCAGAGGTGCTATTTGCCAGTTCTCCAAACTACTCAAAATTCCTGCTACCGGTTCTCCAGAACCTGTCAGAACTTTCAGACAAATGGTTATCCAACCTCTTCTTAAAAACTTCCAGTGTTGGAGCATTCACAACTTCTGGAGGCAAGCTGTTCCACTGATTCATTGTTCTAACTGTCAGGAAATTTCTCCTTAGTTCTAAATTGCTTCTCTCCTTGATGAGTTTCCACCCATGGCTTCTTGTTCTAAAACTCTTGTGTCTGTTAACCTTTAATTGGATGAAGATGGAACAACATAGGGCAAAACATTTTCAACCAAGGCACCTCAAACGGGCTAATTGATAGAATCCAAAATCCAGGACTCGTTATGGCCTTTAAATCGGACAACTTTAAAAAACCATTTTATGACAGAAACATTACAAAGCACTTTGTGACATTTACAAAAATGTCATTGAACGTTTCCTGTGGTCAGTTCCTCATGTTGGACTGTGCTGTGCGGTTCAACGAGGGCTATTTTCAATCGCAGATATTCAGAGGAATAGTTCACTCAATTTTTAAAAAAACCTTTGTAGCGAAGGCAGTACATTAGAAGCTCTGCCATTTTTAAAGGAATCAGGTTAGGAAATCGCCCTGAAGCGATGACCCAACAGGTCACTGGGTCATCTAGTCTTCTTAAGTACATCTCGGACATGAGTATGGCTCACTCCCCAGTATGTATAAATAATGAAGCGGCTATGAGTGGTGATTTAGAATTAGAAGAATTAGAATTAGAATTCTTTATTGGCCAAGTCTGTAGAGATTCTCACTCATCCAGGTCATGGTTGTCCCAAATGTGCTTTTTCAGGAGGCAACTGGACTTTCTTTTTTTTTTTTTATTGAAAAAGTTTTCAAATACAAATTTCCCCCCCCCTTTTTTTTCCCCCTCTCCCTCCCCCTCCCTAACCCCCCCTCCCCACCCATCCCCCCCTGTGACTTCTTCATAACAAAAAAAAAACCTAATTCATAACAGATTACTTACTCCCTCCTCTAGATATTGACCTTTACTTACTAAAAATATTATTAATATTATAACATCCCCCTTTATCCATACATTTCAGAAAAGAGAAAAGAAAGGAAAAAAAAAAGACATTATACTATGACATTATAGAATAACTTCTCCACTTTAAAACTATACGATAAGTCCTACTTTAACATTTAATCTTCTATATATATTACTATAACATTTCAAAGCGGCCTTCCCCATAAAATCTAGTTTAACATTTATTCCACTCTATCCATTTCCTCCACTCCCCTAAATATATCACTTAAAAATCCCTTTTCTTAGACTAATCAATCTACTAACTAGCTTATTCACCCACTATCATGCAAAATTACCATACACAACGTTTCTTAATATCTTTGATTCACTGCCCACACTACTTAAAAATATATGTCTATATTTTCCATTATATCTAAATAAAAAGAAAAGAAAAGACAATGACTTTAAATTTATAATCCATATAGTATCTTCTTTGAGGTCTTTCCACTGGATTGGTAGAACCAACATCCATAATCGGGTAACATAGCTTGCTGGTGCAACAGTTTATTCAGGATCTTCAATCATATCTGCCCCCATCAGTAGTAAATATCTTCTTATATGTATAAAAGTAAAAACAACCACCCGAGTGACATTATAATTATATTCCATATAGTAATAATTGTGGGTTTCATCAGGATTATTAATTCCCATCATCATAGTGGGTAACAACCCGATCTTCTGCATGCCCCAGCATAATTCTCTTGCCTTGTGATTCAAGATAATATAATATGTTTATCAACACAAAAAGAAATTCCAAAATGGATAATTCAAATCCATCAGTTTAAGGCTCGTTTCACGTCCCCAGATTACGGCCATGCAGAGATCTGCCACAATCCTCAGGATGATATTAACCAGTACGTCGCCTCTTGTGTGTTTACACATAATCATTCATATTTTAAAGTCACTGGCTTCACTGTTGCCTGATTTAGAAATTTCTATTTTTATGCCACCTATTTCTTTTTTTCTTTTCTTTTTGTGGGTTTGGTTTCCATCCTGGTTTCCTTTCTACAAATTGTGTATCATCTGGTCGGTTTTTATTCTGCTTTGTAGATTGGTCTTGTTGGTTTTGTTTTTGTATCTCATGTTTCTTTTTTATCCCTTGCATATCCCCTAATTGGTTTCCATGCTTATCCTTGCCTTGATAAGTCATCACATTAAGGTTAGATGCCACTTCTCTCAAATTTGTAGATAGTCCAGCTGGGGTATCCAATAAATCCAAAGGCAATTCATCTGGTACAGTCTCTGTAATTCGATATTTTACCTTTATTTCCAGCTCCTTCTGCTTATCCTGTATTATACCTGAAGATGTTAAGTTCATTTTCAACCTATTTTGATAAAATTCTTCCGCTCTTTCAACAGTATTTAGCTGATATCTTTCTCCTTGGTATCTAAATATAATACCAACTGGGGCGTCCCACCTGAATGGGATATTTCTCTTTTTTAACTCATTCACCAGAAAACCAAATTTCTTCCTTTCCATCAATATCTTAGGTGGGAGTTCCTTGTAAATCCAAATCTTTCTTCCATACAATTGCAAATTAGAATTGAAGGAATTTTGCACGATATTATTCCTAATTTCTTTATCTGTAAAATAAATCACCACATCTCTAGGCAATTGCCTTTGCTTGGCAATCCAGGAGTTGATTCGATAAACTCTGTCAATCCTGCAAAACACTTCGTCAGGTTGAACCTTTAGAATCCCAGCTAGAAATTCAGAAGATATTTTCCTTAAATCATCTCTATTATTTTCCTGCAAACCTCTTAATCTTATCGCATATTCTGTGAAATTATATTGTACCATTAAAATCTCTTTTTCAATCTTCTGTTGCAGATTTTCTGCATTACCATACTTTTGATCAGCATCCATTTTAGGTTTTTCTTCTAAGCTATTATCCTGAGTGTTTGTCAAATCATTTTCAATTTTTTGAATTCTATTGTCCAATTTATCTTGAATTTCTTCCATTTTAGACTCTAGTACATTAGTATTTGTGTCCAACTGTATCATAAATCCTGTAAAACCATTAACCACTTTTGAGAATTTTTTCTCCAAAAAATCAAACTTAGATTTCACCAATTCTTTAATTTCCTGCTTAAATTTTTCAAATTGCTGATTCACAATCTCCTCCCTTCTTTCAATCTCCTCTATAAAAAATTCTATTATATTAAAATCAGGTTTCTGAGACTGAAGAATTAAGACTTGTTCCTTTAAGTTGTTGGTGGGGGGATCCCCCCCCCTTCTTGTTTATCTGACTTTATGAGTCTCAGTGCCATGTTTCCGCCCAGGCAGGCTTTGTTAAAAAAAAGCAAGCAAGAAAAAAAAAAAAAGGGACTTCTTTCCAATCAACAACAATATTAAGTCTCCAAGGGAAGAAAAAGAGAAAAAGACACAGGAGCGAAGTTTTGTCTACAAATGTAGCCAGTGGTATTTATTCCGCTACATTATGGTAATAGAAAACGGAAGGACTTTCCCTTTCAGCCTCTCCTCCAGCCGACACCATTTTAAAAGGCTTTTTTTCCTCTTTCTTTTCCTCCTCTCTCTTAAGTAATTTTTTAAAAAATCAGTAAAATACTTGCGGTTCAGTATTACAGGTCCAGCTCACATTTTCTTTGAGTAGTCTGTTAAATTTGCAGGCTTGCTTTTGACGCCTGGCTCTGCATCAGCAGAGGTCTCCCAAAGCCCGGAGCAGCGGCTGGGGATACGGGGCATCTCATCCGCTCCGTCCCAAAAGTAAAGGAAAAACTTTTGGGACTCCGCAGAGAGTTCTACCCACCCCTGCCGGCTCTATCTCCGTTTCCTCATGGAAACGGAGTTTTTTCGAGCCGCCATTCCGTTGTGAAGGCGGCTCTGACAGGCGATGGAAGCTGACGATCCCAAAGGAACGTCTGGCAGCGACAAACAGCAAACCGGAAGTCCGCAACTGGACTTTCTTGTGAAAACGTTTCGCTTCTCATCCTAGAACTGTGATGGCGAACCTATGGCATGTGTGCCACATGCCATATCTGTGGGCCATATCTGTGGGCACGTGAGCGTTGCCCAAGCTCAGCTCCAGCACGCATGTGCTCGCTGGCCAGCTGATTTTGGGCCTTCTGGGCCTACCGGAAGTCAGGAAATGGGCCATTTCCGGCCTATGGAGGGGGTGGGGAAGGCCGTTTTCACTGTCCCCAGGCGCCAAGAAAGCCTCTGGGGCCTGGGGAGGGCAAAAAATGGGACTTCCGGGCCCACCAGTAATCTTTTTGCCATCGCGTGCCAAAAGCGGGAGGAGCGCAAACACCGGGGGGGGGATCATTGAATTATGGGTGTGGGCACACATGCCTGCGACGTCCCCGTGTGACCCCACTTTTGGCATGCGACGACATAAAGGTTAGCCATCAGTGTTCTAGAAGCTTCTTCAGTTCTGACAGGATAATGGGGAGTGGAAGGATTTATATTCCTTGCAGACAGCTGGTCATTTGCATCCTTTTTGAAGGTCGTTGAATAATTGGAGGTTTATCTGTCTCCTCAGGGTCACCTGAGTTAGTGCTCCTGGTTCCTGTAGTCTGCCATTTTTTCCCTCTGGAAATCTCTTCTACTCCCATGCCATTCCAAGGGTGTTCATCCGAAATTGCATAGCTAAGTCTGTAGAGATTCTCCGTCATCCAGGTCACGGTTGTCCCCAAGGTGCTTTTTCAGGAGGCAACTGGACTTTCTTATTGGCCAAGTGTGATTAGACACACAAGAAATTTGTCTCCTGTGCATAAGCTCTCAGTGTACATACAACAATAGTGATAGATTATTATCATGGTCATTGTAAATTTCAAACTGATTGGATTCTCTTTCCAAATAAATGTGCTTTAGGAGCTCTCTAAACCATGTACTGTGATAGGAACAACCCCATAATGGGATGTAGAGGATTGTCCTTACAGTGGAAGGGCCTTCCTTTGATTCGTTGTTTCTTGTCTCTTCAGTGTGCTGTTGTGTGGGATCATGGCTGTGATGCTGCAGAATTATGAAGAGGCTGAAGTCTTTTTTGAAGACGCCACCTGTGTGGAGCCGAGCAGTGTCGTGGCCTGGACCATGTTAGGTACGAATCTGGCTAATTTAGCCTGGAAGATTTGGAAATGTTGATTCCCAGAGTGTGGACACCATCAGTGCTCGGCACACTTTTTGCATAGTCTATAGCAGTGATGACTAAACTTTTTCTTGGCATGTGCTGAAAGTGTGCGTGCGTGCCGGCACCCATAATGCAATGTGCACATGATCCCCCCTGCTTTCCAGCCCCTCGCACATGCACGATGAACTAAGATGAACTAAGCAATTAGTTCATCTGACCGGTTCAAGCTTTGGAAAGTTCTGTTTGACTCTGTGCTAAGTTTGGCCTTGCCCTGCGTCTGGCAATTAGTTCTCTGGGAGCATTCCAAGGGAGATGAGGTGAGTTCTAATCCTGCTTTAGGCATGAAAATCAGCTGAGTGACTTTGGGCCAATCCCCAGGAGATGGTGAATTCTAGTCCCGCCTTAGCCATGAAGAGCAGCTGGGTGACTTTGGGTCAGTTCTTCTCTCTCAGCCCACCCCACCCCATCAGGTTGTCATTGGGAAAACAAAAGGCAAGTACATAGTTTTAAGGTGCATAAAATAAAGGGGGTCCATCACTATTAAATAAATAGAGAATGATCGCTGTTTTAGGTGGATACCAAAGAACCTGATAACCCTGATGTTCCTATGCCTCCTTCAACATCACCGTAATTATTTCCTGAGGGAAATCTTCCTTTTTCTTTTCCTACCTTTCCTTTTAGGACTTTTCTATGATATCCAGGAAAACTACATTCGGGTCGAGATGGCCTTCCGTGAGGCTACCAAGCTCCAGAAGGCCCATCTGCCCAAAGAGAAACCAAGTCCTCCAAGCATAGAAGAAGTACCAGTAGCAAAGAAAAGAACGTCATACCTGGCTTCACGGGCGCAGTCCCTGGTTGGCCCAGAGGACTCTGGTAAGCTGACGATGCCCATGAGGGGCAACAGGTCACAAACTTTACCTGTCAGGGTTCCGACGGATGCCCTAATTAAATCATGAGCCTCGAGCCAAGCTTCAAAAGAAATCCATGTCTGCATGTTCCAAGGGAAGCCAACTCTGACCCCACGTAATTTATGGCCCAGACTTGACCCTGTTTCCCCGCTCCCCCCAGGGTGTGTCATCAGTCACATTCGCCAATGGAGCAATTTCGTGGGTTGTAGAGATCACTCCCCTCTGGCCGCTGTGGGTAACCCTGGGAGACAGCCTTGAGAGAGTTATGTCTGGAATGTGCTTTTGTTTTTGGCTGCCGTGCTGCTTCGCCGTTTTCCCATCCCCCTTGCCTATGGCAATTCGAGAGCAGGCCAGGGATGCTTTGCGAGTTGACATTACCGTGTTCTTGAAAATTGGGGAAAGCATTACAGGTAGCCCTCAACTTAAAGCAGTTCACAACGGCACTAGAAAAAAAAGAGACTTATGACCCTTTTTCACATTTATGACCTTTGCAGCATCCCCATAGTCACGAGATTTACATTCAGAGGCTTGGCAACTGATTCCGATTTATGATGGTTGCAGTGTCCCAGAGTTGTGTGATCTCCTTTGTCGACTTTCTGACAAGCCAAGTCCACGGGGAAGCCAGATTCACTTAAAAAACCGTGTGACTAGCAATAGCACTTAGACTTATATACCGCTTCATAGTGCTTTTACAGCCCTCTCTAATCAGTTTACAGAGTCAGCCTCTTGCCCCCAACAATCTGGGACCTCATTTGACCCACCTTGGAAGGATGGAAGGCTGAGTCAACCTTGAGCCTGACATGATCGAACCTCTGGCAATCGGCAGAGTTAGACTGCAATACTGCATTCTAACCACTGCGCCACCAGGAAGGAGAAAGAGGAAGGAAGGAAGGAAGGAAGGAAGGAAGGAAGGAAGGAAGGAAGGAAGGAAGGAAGGAAGGAAGGAAGGAAGGAAGGGTGAGCAATAGTATATACCGCTTTATAGTGCTTTTCAGCCTTCCCTAAGCGGTTTACAAGTCAGCCTACTGCCCCCCCCCCCCAAACAATCTGGGTCCTCATTTGACCCCCCTCGGTAGGGCGGAAGGCTGAGTCAACTTTGAGCCTGGTGAGATTCGATCTGCCAAATTGCAGCTAGCAGTCAGCTGAAGTAGCCTGCAGTACTGCAGTCTAACAACTGCGCCATCTTGGCTAACTTGACTAACTTAAGAACTACAGCGATACACTTAACAAAGGTGGCGAGAAGAGTCGTAAAATGGAGCAAACTCCATTTTACGGCTTAAAAAATTTCTCACTTAAGAACATAAATTTTGGGCGCCATTGTGGTCATAAGTCGAGGATTACCTGTATAGGAAAAAGGATCATTGGCCAAGAATGTTTACGGGAGAGCCTATTCCAAGCTACTTCTCCCAATGTTCTCTAGCTCAGAGGTCTCCCACCTTGGCAACTTTACAACTTGTGAACTTCAGTTCCCAGAATTCCTCAGCCAGCCCATGCTGAATTCTGGGACTTGAAGTCCACAAGTCGTAAAGTTGCCGAAGTTGGAAACCCTTGCTCTTGGTGGACCTCCATTATGACGTTGTGTCTACAAGGAAAAACCCAGGTAAAATTAACCCTTCCTTTTTTGGCCCGTCCTCATGTTCCACTCTCCCATTTCCATTGCTAGTGGAATATAATATTTATTCTTTTTTTAGATACATCCATCGATGGAAAACAGGGGCGGGCAAAACGTTTTGAGTTTGAGCCATTTCCACTGGAAGAATTCCTACTTTGAGTGCAGAACGGTGATTCTGAAGGCAAAAGGCTGAGTCGGTCTTTCTATTACGACCTTGAGGGCCAAATAGCTGTTTTCACATTCATGATAGAGCACTTTGTGCTTCAAACCGAGACCTTCAGATCAATGGTGGAATTCAATTTTTTTTACCACCGGTTCTGTGGCCGTGGCTTGGTGGCCGTGGCAGGGGAAGGATACTGCAAAATCTCCATTCCCACCCCACTCCCGGGGGATGGATACTGCAAAATCTCCATTCCCTCCATGCCCACTGCAAAATCTCCATTCCCACCCTACTCCTGGGGGAAGGATACTGTAAAATCCCCATTCCCTCCCCACTCCAGGAGGAAGGATACTGTAAAATCTCCATTCCCACCCCACTCCAGAGGAAAGATACTACAAAATCCCCATACCCTCCCCACTCCTGGGGGAAAGATACTGCAAAATCCCCATTCCCTCCCCACTCCTGGGAGAAGGATATTGCAAAATCCCCATTCCCTCCCCACTCTGGGCCCATCCAGAGGTGGTATTTGCCAGTTCTCCGAACTACTCAAAATTTCCGCTACAGGTTCTCCAGAACTTGTCAGAACCTGCTGGATTTCATCCCTGCTTCAGATCGGGATGGCAGCTGAGACTCAAAGTCTTCTACATAGCCTCATTGCAGATTTGTAAAATGAGTGAGATATTTATTTATTTTCTGAGGTGGGCCCAAAATGTACCCAGGCCTTTCTCTGACTTGTAGATGTTTCAGTTCTTGCTCAGCTGCCAAATGCCAAATTTCTGGGTCGCAACACCAGAGGAATTCAGCTATGCCTGCCAAAGTAGCCAGATGTCATCCTTTCACCTTTATCCGGGCAATTTTGAGTGCTGCAGCCTTTCTATTATTTCCATGGCAACCTTACTGCATTGAGAAACAGAGTGCCTTGAGTCCATCTTAAATTTGGCATCTACACTGTAAGGTTATGGATCCATGGTTTGGATAATTAGCCTCTATATTACCCTGGCAACAGTAATAGCGGTTAGACTTATATACCGCTTCACAGTGCTTTTACAACCCTCTCTAAGCGATTTACAGAGTCAGTCTCTTGCCCCCAACAATCTGAGTCCTCATTTTACCAAACTTGGAAGGATGGAAGGCTGAGTCAACTTGAGCCGGTCAGAATCAAACTGCTGGTAGTTGGCAGAATTAGCCTGCAATACCGCATTCCAACCACCAGGGCATCTAAGACCCATTATCCTGGGACCAGAAAAAAGCAATGTGAAAAAACAAAGAGAATTATAGAATTATTATAGAATTATAATAGAATTATGGAACTATAGAATTATAGAATTATAGGGACAGAAGGGACCCTAACCCCATGCCCAAGGCAGAAGACAAATGGTTGTCCAGTCTATTTTTGAAAATCTCCAGCGATGAAGCACTTACAATTCCAGGAGGCGAATTGTTCCATTGATTAATTGTTCTTACCATCAAGAATTTTCTCTTTAGGAATTGGCTGATGGTGACAGTCAGTGAAGAGCTCTTACCAGAACACTGACATTCTTCTCATGGATTCCCTTGGTCAACAAACTGCGTGACCCATAAATGAACTCAGAAGGTTAACTGAACTCCTGACCAGTGTTAAACAAGTTGTAAGCTTGTCGACTGGAAGGTCGGCAGTTCGAGACCCGAGCACCGTGTGACGGAGTGAGCTCCCGTCACTTGTCTCAGCTCCTGCCCACCTAGCAGTTCGAAAGCATGCAAATGCAAGTAGATAAATAGGTACCACTTCGGTGGGAAGGTAACAGCATTCCCGTGCACCTTGCATATAGTCATGCCGGCCACATGACCATGGAAGCGTCTTCAGACAACGGCGGCTCCCTCTGCTGGGAAACGGAGATGAACATCGCCCCCTAGAATTGGACATGACTGGCGAGAGGAAACCTTTACCTTTTACCATTTAGATTGTAGTCTAGATGGGGGACTTTCTACTGAACATAATTCTGCTATCCAGTTAAAGAGGCTGGTCAAATCAGGCCTGCTTTTTGTGTCCTCATATAGGTTGATTTCCTTTTTATCTCCAGAAGAATCTCCAGAATCCGCAGTGAAAATCCAAGCAGAGTCTTCAGAGCCAACCAGCTCCCTTCGTGCACCCGAAGAAGATACCGTACATAAACCGTTCAAGAGATTGTCCGTTACACCCAGTAAATTTAGGATGAGCACACAGAGAGGTAGGCGGTCTTAAGGGATAGCTAGAGACAGCTCCTTATCTTTCGGAGGGCCTCTCCATTCATCTCCCAAAGGTGCTTTTCCAAAAAGGCAAGTAGATTTTCTTGGGTTTCTTCTGCTTCTTGGATGAGGAGTGAAACATTTTCAAGGAAAAATTAAAAAAAACAAGAAAGTCCAGTTGCCTTTTGGAAAAACATCTTTGAGGCAACCATGACCTGGATGATTGAGAATCTCCATAGACAGCCCTCCTTTCATCTTTCATTCAGGTTCCACCCCTGTCCATCACCTCAGTATCACGTTGCCATGCAAGGAGTTGTGTTGCATGTTAAAATTCAAGGTGGGCCCATTTAGCCAAAGCTTTCTCAAAGCCTTCTTGCCCCAGCATCAGCTGGGGTTGGGTGGGCACAGATTGGCCATAGGAGCCTTGTGGTGTTGCGCTGGAAGTCCTTCTCCCTTTGGTCTTCCCTTGCCACATCACACACACACACATATCAGGGGTGAAATTCTACCGGTTCGCTCCAGTTCAGGTGAACCTGTAGTGATAAAAACTACCAGTTCAGGCGAACCCGTAGTGATAAAAACTACCTGTTCAGACAAACCGTTAGTTTAAAAAAGCTGCCAGTTCAGACAAACTGGTAGTTTAAAAAAGCTGCCAGTTCAGACAAACCGGTAGTTTAAAAAGCTACCGGTTCAGTCGAACCGGTATTTCCGATGATCAGCTGTGCTGCACAGTTTAGCTTCGCTAGAAAGCAGGAAATCCTGCTTTCTAACAAAGCTAAATCATGCGGCACAGCTGTTTCCCCCCTTGCTGTTCTACTTACCTAGTGAAGTCTTCTTTTTCTGTGCAAAGCGTGCATTTCGTGTGTACTGCGCATGCGCGCGCAGCATGCTTTTGGTGCATGCGTGCGCATAGCACGCTTTTGGTGCACACCGCGTATGCGTGTGCAGCAAAACAGTGGCAATCTGGGGAAGATTTCGCCACTGACACATATGCTCACACACACAAGGCCCAGAGCTTGCAAAGCAATGCTGCAAACTGTATTTGTCACTCTGATGAAAGTGGCAAGAGCTTGCTGACACTGCTACACAACTTGAGGTCCAGCTGGAAACTCAACGCAAGCCTGCAAAGCAAGGTTCCAGAACTGAACTTCTATTAACCAAGCACTAGGAAACAAAGAATAATTGCTGATTCTCAGTTTCCAGATAAGGTAAGATAAAGTAAGGGTGAGGTGAGTTGAGGTGAGACGAGATAACATTTATTATCACTTTTTTTTCTGTGAAAACACTGGCACATTAAAAACTGAAATTCTGATGTCCATTCTCGAAAGAATATATATATATGCTACTACCCTTTTAGGGATATGTTTACAATTACACGGGAAGAAACCCGAGATATTAACTGTACATGCATATATACCCGTGAAAACTTACACACACACAATATATATATATATGTATATATATATATATATGTATATATATATATATATATGTATATAATATATATATTATATATATATATATATATATATATATATATATATGTATATATATATATATAATGTATGTATATATATATATATATATATATATATATATATATATATATATTGTGTGTATATAATATATATATATATATATATATATATATATATATATATATATATATATATATGTTTTCTGAGGTTTTCGCAGGTGTTTGTATGTAGGTATTTGGTTATTCGGGTTTTCTCCCTCATAAAATTGAAAGTGTCTTGGCGACATTTCGACAAAGACACTTTGTCATTCATCATCTTCAGGCTGATGTTTTCGACTTCGTGCTTCTAGGAGCAATGTGTGATTGCAGCTGTTTCTTCCTTTAACTGCCAGTGGGGGTGTGAACTGATTGGGTGGAGCTTGGCTGTGTTCTGATTGGGTGGAGGTGTGTTCTGATTGGTTGGGGGCTTGGCTGTGCTCTGATTGGATGGGGGGTTGGCTGTGCTCTGATTGGCTGATTGCTTCTAGAAGCACGAAGCCGAAAACATCAGCCTGAAGATGACAAATGAGACTTCGTCGAAACGTTACCAAGACACTTTTACGCGGGAGAAAACCCGAATAACCAAAGACATACATATATATACACTCATACACATACATATGCGTTTTCTCTCTCTCTATCTATCTATCTATCAATCATTATCTATATCTATCTATCCATCCATACACACACACATATACATAAACATAACACATACACAAACACACATATATTAATCACAGTTCATTTAGAATACATAGCAGAAAAAAGAATCTTGAGCATTAACAGAGTTGATACTCTATGGTACAAAGCGGTTCCAGAATCTCATTGTTCTGCTTCTGATATTGTAAAGCCTCCTCCTAGAAGGTAACAAAGGAAACTGGTCATGGAGAGGATGTGTAGAGTCCCAGACAACACTCCGGACCCTGGTCAAGCATCACTTATATGCTATGACCTGGATAGAAGGAAGTGAACTTCCAATAATCTTTTCTGCCGTCTTCACCACTCTCTGCACTGCCTTCCTATCTGAAACAGTAATGCTTCCAAACCACACAATAATACAATATGACAGGATGTTTTCAATCATCCAACTGCACTCAACGTGTAGTCCTCAATGGAACTGCATCTACATGGAGGGAAGTATGCAGTGGAGTACCCCAAGGCTCTGTTTTAGGCCCAGTGCTCTTCAACATCTTCATCAATGACTTAGACGAGGGGATAGATGGGGAACTCATCAAATTTGCAGATGACACCAAACTGGCAGGAATAGCCAACACTCTAGAAGATAGGCTCAAGATACAGAAGGATCTTGACAGACTTGAACATTGGGCTCTATCTAACAAAATGAAATTCAATGGTGAAAAAACCAAGGTTCTACATTTAGGCAAGAAAAACAAAATGCACAGGTACCGTATATGTGGTACCTTGCTCAATAGCAGTAACTGTGAGAGGGATCTTGGAGTCCTAGTGGAAAACCATTTAAATATGAGCCAGCTGTGTACTGCAGCTGCCAAAAAAAGTCAACACAGTTCTAGGCTGCATAAACAGAGGGATAGAATCAAGATCACGTGAAGTGTTGATGCCACTTTATAATGCCTTGGTAAGGCCACACTTGGAATCCTGCATTCAGTTTTAGTCGCCACAATGTAAAAAAGATGTGGAGACTCTAGAAAGAGTGCAGAGAAGAGCCACAAAGAGGATTAGGGGACTGGAGGCTAAAACTGAAGAACGGTTGCAGGAACTGGGTGTGTCTAGTTTAATGAAAAGAAGGACTAGGGGAGATGTGGTAGCAGAGTTCCAATATCTCAGGGGCTGCCCCAAAGAAGAGGGAGTCAAGTTATTCTCCAAAGCACCTGAGGGTAGGACAAGAAGCAATGGGTGGAAATGAATCAAGGAGAGAAGCAACTTAGAACTAAGGAGAGAATTCCTGACAGAACAATGAATCAGTGAAACAACTTGCCTCCAGAAGTTGTGAATGCTCCAACACTGGAAGTTTTAAAGAAGAGGTTGGATAACCATTTGTCTGAAGTGGTGTAGGGTTTCCTGCCTAAGCAGGAGGCTGGACTAGAAGACCTCCAAGGTCCCTTCCAACTCTGTTATTCTATTCTAAGTCCCTCTAGAGAAAGTGGTAAGGACAGGGGAAGGAAGCTGTGCTCTTCTCATGCGACACAGAAATTGCAGACGCTGTTGTGCCCACTTCACCAGTGTCTCACCGTTGAGCGACCAAGCTGACCTGCTATGTTGGCGTTTCCCTCAAACTCCTTGCTCTTTCGGTTTCATTTCAGAAATTTCCAAACCTGCGGCAGTTGCATTTGAACCAGACCTGAGCCTGGTCATACAACAACCCCAGCAAACCACCTCTATTTTCATGGAAACAATAAAATTCCTCTTGGATGTCAATGCCCTTCAGGTGAGTGTAGGGTCAACCGAGGCTGGAGGAGACCAAGAAAATGTTTAGGCGCATTGATTTAGGGCCCAGGGGTGTCAAACTGGCAGCCTGTGGGCCAAATATGTCACGCACAGGCCAGGCCCATCCCAGTTCTGCGAAAGGAAAAAACGTCGCAAGACGTCGTGTGACGGCAACGTGACGTGGCGAGTTTGACACCCGTGATTTAGGTGATGCCAAGAACACATCCATCCTTTGGGGTAACAGCCAACCCTTCCTTTTTCTGCCACAGAAGCAGAGAGGGCAGGATTAAGGTCACACAAATTTGTTTTGTGATGTCTTTGTGAGAGGGCGGGGGTGATTTGAGAGAGACTGACATAGTGAGCAGGAATGCTTTAATTATTCCTTTATTTAATTCATTGATTTATTATTACTGAGTATTCGGAATTATTATTCGAGGTAGTCCTGGACTTACGACCACACTTGATCCCAACATGTCTGTTGCTGAGGGAAACATTTGTTAAGTAAGTTTTGGCCCCATCTTACAACTTTTCTTGCCACATTCAACCCTAAATTGAAGACTTCCTGTAGTTCTGTGAAAATCGGACTTAGATATTTCTCTCCACTCACTTACCTGCACTTCCTTGAGCAATTTCAACCAGATGTTCACCAGAGGTTCACAGATGACTTACTCTCTGGAAAGAAATACTGTGGGGGGGGGGGGTAAGACACCCCTGACACCCCTCGGGATGTGCATTCTGTTAAGATACAGCCTGTTGTGCCTTAAAATGGCTTCTACTGTATAGCACAGTGGAGTTTCCATGGTAATGACTTCACAGTACTCCATAAGGGGGCTCCCTCTGGTAAGGGGGAAAATCCAACATTAGAAATTACGTTTGGTCCGGACAAGACGTACATACGAGAAAAGAAATACAACGTCCAAATTATCATGGATCAGCTAGCAAAACAACAAGGTGGTATCATGTTACTTGACACTTTTGGGTGCACAGGAGCAACGTTTCTAAGTAATTTAATTCTCGCCAAAATCAGGGCTCAGGGTGAAGTTGCTCTTCCTGTCTAATACAGGATTGGGATAAATAAATACACGGGCAACGCTGGGTTATCAGCTAGTATATACAGTATTTTTCGGAGTATAAGACGCACCTTTTTCCCTCCTAAAAGGGGGTGAAAATTTAGGTGCGTCTTATACACCGAATGTAGCCCTGCTCACCCACTGGCCCACCACCCTTTGGGGCTCCAGCAATTTAGCTCCTTGCCGCAAGCAGTAAGAAGAAACAGCTCGTTTCAGCGTCAGCACAGCCTAATTAGCACAAGTTGATTGGATCGGCCTCCCAACTCTCAGCTGTTTTGCTCGGGCCCCTGCTGCTTGCTGCAAGGAGCTAAATTGCTGGAGCAAATTTTTTTTTCTTCTTGTGCTAATCAAGCTATGCTGAAAACGAAAATTAAAGTAAAGCAGGCTGTTTGCTGTTTGCTGCAAGGAAGCAAAATTGCTGGGAGGCAGAGGCAGATTTCTTTTTCTTGTTTTCCTCGCCAAAAAAGGTAGGTAGGTTTGTCTTATAGTCCGGTGCGTCTTACACTCCGAAAAATACGGTATATATGTATGTGTGTGTGTGTGTGTGTGTGTATCATCATGTTTGTATTTCGAGCACCCAGAACTTGGATATGATTTTTCAACATGATTGTCTGGCCAGGCAGTGATCTTTCTAAATTACATCGCTGATTGCCATTACTTCTCGAATATCACCCTTTTCCTTTCTCTCAGCTTAATCATAGTGAATTTCCCTTTCATCTCTGAAAGCCTTTCCCCAGCAATGAAACTTGCTAGGACCGAGAGCTCGCTGTGTAGCCAGAAAAAAGCTGCCACCGCACTGATCTATTGTTCTGAATCTCTCCGCTTGTCTTCTCGGCTCTGTCGCGGGGCTCAGCAAAATCACCGTCTGGTGTTCAGACAGAGCGAAGGCATCCTGGGGGCAGGCAGCGGATGCCTCAAGCTGTTTTATGACACTAATGAAACAAAGAAGACTTACATCCAGTTTTGGTCAGCACATTACAAAAATGATGTTAAGACCTTGGAAAAAAAGTGCAGAAAAGAGCAACTAAGATGATTAAAAGCCCCGGTGACAAAAACATATGAACAGTTGCAGGATCTGGGTATGGCTAGTCTAGAGGAAGGAAGGACTAGGAGAGGACATGATAGCAGTATTCCAATATTTGAGGGGCTGCCACAAAGAGGAGGGGGGGTCAACTTTTTCCCCCAAAGGATGTGTAACAGTAACAGTTGGGAGGGACCTTGGAGGTCATCTAGTCCAGTGGTCACCAACTGGTGGTCTGTGGCCCACTGGTGGTCCGTAAGAACATTTTGGTGGTCCCCAGAAAAATTATTTCCATTTTTTATATTGCACTAAATCAGGGGTCCTCAAACTACGGTCCCTAGGCCGGATACCTGCAATGAACATTTGTGCTGCTGCAGAGAGTCTCCCCCTTTGGGGTCTTTTTGTGTGGGTCGGACAGGGGGCAAAAATTCCGATTTGGTGTCTGCTTCAGCCTCCTGGTGCGGGGCTTTGGGCAAAAGCTGGAGGGAAGAGCCGCTGGTGGTGAAGAGCCGGTTCCAGTGGGACTGCCTCATGGCCTGGAACTGGCTGACCATCTCAGCGCGCTGAGCCTCCAGGCACCGGTATCTGGCCTTGCACTCCTGCAGGTCTTCCCTCTGCATGGAAAGCCTATGCTCGTAGTCCTCAGTGAGGTGCTTTGCACTCCCGCAGATCTTCCTTCTGCTTGGGAAGCCTATGCTCCTAGTCCTCAATGAGGTGCTTCTGCTGAGCCTCCTTTTCGGTCAGATCCAATTTGAACTGAGCAGCTGTTTTGCCAACTCTTTCTCATGGTGGCTGCTTAGCTCCAGCAACTGCTTCCCGTTGGGGCCCTAAGGAGCCCAGGCGGGCAGGCGAGGAGTAGTGAGTAGAGGCTGGCAAGATGCCCCTCGATGTGAGTGACATTGAGTTGGCCACGCCCACCCAGTCACATGACCACCTTGCCACGCCCACCCAGCCAGTCATTAGGCAGATCATATTAGTGGTCCGTGGGATTTAAAATTATGAATTTAGTGGTCCCTGAGGTCCAAAAGGTTGGGGACTCACGCAGGAGACCTGTACTAGGGATTTGAACCGCCGAACTGCCGACCTTTCTGATCGACAAGCTCAAATGTCTTAGCCACTGAGCCACCTAGTCAGGTATCTAGTGCAGCATCCTTCCATTCCCCACCCATCCAATCGGAGCTAAAGAAGCTTCTTGGGTGTCTTCCAAGAAAGACAAGAAACTTCTGTTGCCTCCTGAAAAAAAAACACCTTTGGGAGAACCATGACCTAGATGATGGAGAATCTCCATAGACATTAATTTTCCAAAGCACCAGAAGGCAAGACAAAAAAAAACAAAAAAACAATGGCCCGATTCTAATCAAGGAGAGAAGCAACCTGGAATTAAGGAGAAACTCCCTAACAGGAAGGACAATTAACCAGTGCAAGAACTTGCCTCCAGAAGTTGTGGGTGCTTCATCACTGGAGGCTTTTAAGAGATTGGACAGCCACTTGTCTGTAATGGTATAGGGCAGTGATGGCTAACCTTTTTGCCATTGTGTGCCAAAAGCGGGGGAGCATGGGGGGGGTCACGCACGGGTGCCCATAGCCATACTTATATGCGCCCTGTCCCCCAGGCATGCACGCATGCCCTCCCCATGCTCCCCCTGCTTCTGGCACATGATGGCACGGTGGGCCTGGTAGGCTCGTTTTTTGCTCTCCCCAGGCTCCAGAGCCTCTCTAGGAGCCTGGGGAGGGCAAAAACGGCCTTCCCCACCAGCCCGGAGGCCCTCCAGAGGCTGGAAACAGCCTGTTTCCCTACTTCTGTGGGGCCAGAAGGCCTGAAAATCAGCTGACTGGCATGCGCATGCCCGCCGGAGCTGAGCTCACGTGCCCACCGATATGGCTCTGTGTGCCACCTGTCAGGTATAGGGTCCTCTAATCCTCTTGGTTGCTCTTCTCTGCAGTCTTTCTAGAGTTTCAACATAGAATCCTAGTTGGAAAGGTAGATTAATATCTCTTTATTTTTGCATAAGTAAAAAGAAGCCCCTTAGAATCACTTTATATACAGTTCAAACATATTTGAACTGTTTGGAATGCGTTTTTTTCATTGGTAGGTTCATATAGTAACAGCAATAGCATTTAGGCTGATATGCCATCCCATAGCATTTTATAGCACTCGCTAGGCAGGTTTACAATGTCAGCATTATTTGCATTTTGCCCCCAACAATCGGGGTCCTCATTTTACTGACTTCAGAAGGATCCACCTTGAGACCATCAGGATTGAACTACAGACTGTGGGCAGAATTTGCCTACAATACTGCACTTTAACTGCAGCACCGTCAAGGCTCCTATTATGTGACAAGCATGTTCATCAGCTTTATATGTTCCACGTAACATTTCATAGCATCCCATAATGTTCTTAGCATGATCTTGTTAATCCTCCTCCTCACATTCAGAAGTGGTTTTTTTATATTACAATGAAGCATATAATAAGTTTGAGTGGTGCAGTAGCCTAGAGGCAGAGTCCTTGCCTCACATTCAAGAAGCTATGAGTTCGATCCTAGGTAGACATTTCTCTCTCTGGGCACAATGAGAATATATCTGCTGGGGGGAAAAAAACTCCACATTGGCGATAGGAAAGGCATCCGGCCAGTAAACACTCCGCTCCATTCACTTGCCCAGACTCCGCTCTGCAAGGGATTATGGGAACATTAAAAGAAGATGAATGAAGCATAATAAGTTTGCAAATTACTCAAGGTTGCACAGTTTGTGTTTTTAGCAAATTTGAACCAGTTCTTATCAGACTCTGCATTCGCGATGATGAGCTTGCTTTATTAGTTCAAAGAACTAGAAACGTTAATCAAAGAAACTCCTAGCTCCGTGATGGCAAACCTATGGCACGTGTGCCACCTGTGGCACGCGTAGCCATATCGCGTAGCCTCATGTGAGTTCAGCTACGACACGCATGTGTGCTGGTCAGCTGATTTTTGGGCCTTCCAGTCCCACCGGAAGTTGGCAAACAGGCTGTTTCCTGCCTCCGGAGGGCCTTCGGGGGGGGAGGGAAGGGCCGTTTTTCTCTTTCTCCAGGCTCCAGAGCCTTTCTAGGAGTCTGGGGAGGGCAAAAACTGCCTTCCCACCCCTCCGGAGGTCCTCTGGAGGCCAGAAATGGCCTGTTTACCAACTTCTGGTGGGACTGGAAGGCCCGTTTTTTGCTATCCCCAGGCTCCAGAGCCTTTCTAGGAACTTGGGGAGGGAGAAAACAACCTTCTCCCCCCCGGAGGCCCTCCGGAGGCCGGAAATGGCCTATTTGCTGACCTCTGGTCCCACTGCATAGAATTATGGGTGTGGGCACGCATGCACGTGACCCCCCTCCCCTCCGCTCCTGGCACGTGATGGCAAAAAGGCTAGCCATCACTGTCCTAGCTACTGAAAACATTGTTCAGAGAGGCCTCCCCTCTCCTTCCATCAGTAGGGCAAGAGGCAGTCCCAAAGAGACTCCTAGGAGTAGGAAAACAAAGACTAAGAGACGGGGGATTCCAGTGGCCCTGCAGCAATGATGGGCTCTTTCCTTCCAGTTTGTTCACAGGGCGCTGGCGCATGAGTTGATCTCCCCTCAAGGAGGCCCCAGCTGTGACTATTACTTGGTGCTGGCCCAGACCTACATGCTCAAGAAGGAATATGACCAATCAGAAGACAGCTTGGAAACGGCTATGCAGATTGATTACCTGGTGCGTACCTCTCCTTAGCACTTTGGGATTCTCTAATTACCCAACTAGAGTTAACTTGATTGATTGTGTCAGCCTGGATTTCCAGCCTGGATTTTCTCTTCGATGCTTGCTTGGTACCGGCTGCCATAGTAACGGGGGGTGGGGGTGGGGGGCATGGCTTTGGGGTTTGGGAAGTGTGCTGGTGTAATGAAGGCCCAGGTGAACTAAAAAGGAGGTTTGCTCTCTGGAATTACTGCGCTGCTGAATGGAATAGTTCATACCCAGTCAAGGCCAACCGTCTTAGAATTCCAAATGGATGAAAATCAGGGGTGAAATCCAGCAGGTTCTGGAGAACCTGTAGCGGAAATTTTGAGTAGTTCGGAGAACCGGCAAATACCACCTCTGTCTGGCCACAGAGTGGGGTGGGAATGGAGATTTTGCAGTATCCTTCCCCTGGAGTGGGATGGGAATGGAGATTTTGCAGTATCCTTCCCCTGCCACGCCCTCCAAGCCACGCCCACAGAACCGGTAGTAAAAAAAATATTGAATTTCACCACTGATGAAAACACCTGAAGATGTGATCCACATGACACTATCCGGGACATGGTTTGGACATTCAGTCTGGTTCCCTGGTGGGGAGGGATATGGGGAGACTTTCAATATGTAACTTTTGCGCCTTTGGGCTCAGATCTTGCTTTTCTTTCGCTGCTATCATTTCAAACTCCGTAAAAGTACCTGTTCTCTACTTCAATGGACTTAGCATGCTTAGCCAAAAGTTTAGGGGGTTGCATTTTAATGCCCCCCTAACTTGAAAGGGACACAGTGCCTCATTGGCTAAGACGCTGAGCTTGTCGATCAAAAGGTTGGCAGTTTAGCAGTTCGAATCCTTAGTGCCGCATAACGGGGTGAGCTCCCATTACTTGTCCCAGCTTCTGCCAACCTAGGAGTTCAAAAGCATGTAAAAAATGAAACTAGAAAAAATAAGGATCACCTTTGGTGGGAAGGGAACAGCGTTCTGTGTGCCTTTGGCGTTGAGTCATGCCGGCCACGTGACCATGGAGACGTCTTCGGACAGCGCTGGCTCTTCGGCTTTGAAACGGAGATGAGCACCACCCCCTAGAGTCGGGAACGACTAGCACATATGTGCAAGGGGAACCTTTACCTTTTAGATATGTTCCAACTCCAAGAGACAGATGGACCAGTTTTATTCTACAACATCTTCCCAGGTACTGGACTACAATTCTAGAATTATCCTGGCTCTTGGATCAAATGAGTTCTCCCTTATCAACATCCCCAATTGTTTTAATTATTTCTGAATTTTCCACTCACCATCCCCCATTTCCTATGTAGGTTTTAAGAGGAAAAGTATTGATTCGACCAGGATGATGTAAGGTCTCCTGCCTTGTCTAGAGGGTTGGGACTAGAACAGGGGTCAGCAACCTGTGGCTCTGGAGCCGCATGTGGCTCTTTCATCCCTCTGCTGCGGCTCCCTGTCACTCAAAATATGCATCACAACCGCCAATGTGCGACACCCGCCGGCACATGATTTATTGAGCTTTTCAACCCCTGGCAGGCCAACCATGGATAAATCCAAGAAAAGAAAAGTTTCAGAAGAAAACAGAACATTTAATTCAACTACATATGCTAGTTTTGTGGCTGCTCAAGAAATAGTCAGGCAAGGGAAGGGTTTTGTGGCTCCCAATGTTTTCTTTTCTGTGGGAAAGGGGTCCAAATGGCTCTTTGAGTGATTAAGGTTGCAGACCCCTGGACTAGAAGATCTCCAAGGTCCCTTCCAGCCTTCCCATCCTATGATTCATTGCCAGCCTCCACATGTCATGCTTAACCCCCTCCCTTTCTCTGCTACCTCTCTAGAATCCAGAGGTTTGGGCTCAAAAAGGCCATCTCTGCTACTTGACCGGGAATTTCAGTGAAGCAAAGTCCTGCTATGAACGCACTATCAGCTTTGTGACGGACGCGAAGGATATGCATACTGTGTACCTGCGACTGGGATCCATCTATCTGGGAGGCAAGGAGGTGAGAAGGTAGAAATGGGACCAACAAGAAGATCCTGGTGGATTCGTTGACTTGAGATGACTCACCCTGTAGAACTTTGATGGGCAGAAACATTGTCTCACCGGGTATTATATTAATTTTTGCTCCAAAAGACACATTATGGCTTATTTTTTTGGTTAGGTCTTATTTTGGGGGAAATACAGTACTAAACACCTCCATCTGGTTGACGAACTTAACCAGGGCTTATTTTTGGGGTAGGGCTTATATTACAAGCATCCTGAAAAATCATGCTAGGGCTTATTTTCCGGTTGGGTCTTATTTTCAGGGAAACAGGGTAATTGCTAGTGCCGTTACCATGTTTCCCCGAAAATAAGACCCTGTCTTACATTTTTTTGAACCCTGAAATAAGTGCTTGGTCTTATTGCCATGCGCTCCAAAGCCCGATTGGGCTTATTATCAGGGATGTCTTATTTTGGGGGAAAACAGGGTAGTACCAATGTACACTGTAAAGATAATGACCAATATTATACTATGTTGAGAAGTTGGGGTGGATTTGTTGAGTCTGGGGTTTCCTCTGAGACTTGAGGAGACCTCAGTTTGAGGTCTTGCCGCTTTGTGCAATCAGGACCGTAGACCAGTGTTTCCCAAACTTGACCCTTTGAAGATGTATGGACTTCAACTCCCAGAATTCCTCAACCAGGCATACTGGTTGGGGAATTCTGGGAATTGAACTCCATGCATCTTAAAATAGCCAAGTTTGGGAAACACTGCCGTAGACGAAGAAGCAATTATTTCCCATGAAAATAATTTAACGATCATTTTAATAATCATAACAATTTGCTTCAACCAGTTTCTTCCCACCTACCCACCCGAAAAAACTACTTAGACAGAAGAAAGAAGCAAAAAAAAAATGTATACTTTTCCCATTTGGGAGAAAATACATTCCAGCCATTGGTCAAAGCTAATTTCATATTTAATCCTTCCGTAATGCTTCCCTTTGCCCTCTGAGTTTTGGATCTTGTTTTTTTCCGCATAGCCAAGAGGGTTCTATCACACCATCCTGTATTCTGTGATGATTTTTATGAGTTTTATGAGCCTTTTCTAACCGCCTGCCTGGAGCAAGTCATGTTCAAACAGCTGCTAATGACCTCTTTCCGTTTGAAGAACTGCAGGTTGCTTTTGTCAACGAGCAAGGAGAAACCATCCTAAATTGCCCCAGCCTGGAGAGTAATTCTCTCTTCTCTTTTCTTTTGGCAGTATGACAAAGCCAAGCACATTTACCTTCTGGCGAGTAAGAAATCACCTTCTTGTCTCACCTGGCTGGGAGTAGGAATCGCTTGCTACAGGGTAAGAGATGGAGTCCTTTTGGCCTTCAGATTTGTAGAACATAGAAGACTAGGTTGGAAGGCACCTTGAAGATCTTCTAGTCCAGTCCCCTGCTCAAGCAGGAGACCCTATATCATTTCAGACAAATGGCTGTCCAGTCTCTTCTTGAAAATCTCAAGTGATGAAGCTCCCACAACTTCCAAAGGCAACTTCTGTTCCACTGGTTGATTGCTCTCACTGTCAGAAAATTTCTCCTTATTTCCAGGTTGAATCTCTCCTTGTTCAGTTTCCATCCATTGTTCCTTGTCTGGCCTTCAGGTGCTTGACCCCCTCCTCTCTATGGCAGCCCCTCAAATATTGGAAGACTGCTATCCTGTCTCCGCTGGTCCTTCTCTTCACTAGACTAGCCATGCCCAGTTCCTGCAACCGTTCATCGTATATTATTAGTCTCCAGTTCCCTCATCATCCTGGTTGCTCTTCTCTGCACTCTTTCTAGAGTCTCAACATATTTTTTATAGTGTGGTGACCAAAACTGGATGCAGTATTCTTGGTGTGGTCTTACTAAGCCTTTATAGAGTGGTATTAGTACCTCTCTTGATCTTGATTGTATTCCTCTGTTAATGCAATTTAGGATTGCATTGGCTTTTTTTGGCTGCCACCGCACACTGCTGGCTCATATTTAGCTGGTTGTCCACTAAGACTCCAAGATCCCTCTCACAGTCACTGCTATTAGGCCTGGTTTCACCCAGTCTATATGTGTACTTTGGGTTTTTCTTACCTAAGTGTCAAACTTTACTTTTCTCTACATTGAATTTCATTTTGTTAGATTGGGCCCAGTGTTCAAGACTGTCAAGATCCATCTGGATCTTGAGCCTATTACTTGGAGTAACGAAACATCTCCGATTCCATAGCTAAATACAGATAGTTCTCGACTTCAGACCATAATTGAGCCCAAAATTTTTGTTGTTAAGTGAGACATTTGTTAAGTGAGTTTGGCCCCATTTTGCGACCTTTCTTTGCCATCGCTGTTAATGAATCACTGCAGTTGATTAAATTAGTAGTGCGGTTGTTAAGCGAATCTGGCTTCCCCCTTGACTTTGCTTGTCAGAAGGCCGCAAAAGTGAATCACACAATCCCGGGACACTTGCAACTGTCATAAATATGAGTCAGTTGCCAAGCATCTGAATTTTGGTCACATGATCATGGAGATGGTACAAAGGTTGTAACTTTGAAAAATGGCCATTAGTCACTTTTTTCAGTGCCGTTGTAACTTTGAACAGTCACTAAATGAACTGTTGTAGGTCGAGGGTTACCTGTATCTATGGAGATTGTCAATCATCCAGGTCATGGTTGTCTCAAAGGTGCTTTTTTTTCAAGAGGCACTGGACTTTCTGGTTTTTCTTTGAAGACGTTTCACTTCTCATCCAAGAAGTTCAGAGCTGAAGAAGCTTCTTGGATGAGAAGAGAAACGTCTTCAAAAGAAAAAACCAGAAAGTCTAGTTGCCTCCTGAAAAAGCACCTTTGGGATAACCATGACCTGGATGACTGAGAATCTCTACAGACTTGGCCAATGAAGAATTATCTTCTCTTCTCTTCTCTTCTATTATTCTACTCTTCTTATTCTATTCTCTTCTCTTCTCTTCTCTTCTATTCTCTTCTCTTCTCTTCTATTCTTCTCTTCTTTTCTCTTCTCTTCTCTTCTCTTCTCTTATTCTATTCTATTATTCTACTATTCTTATTCTATTCTATTCTTCTCTTATTCTATTCTGTTCTATTATTCTACTATTCTATTCTATTCTATTCTATTCTATTCTATTCTATTCTATTCTATTCTATTCTATTCTATTCTATTCCATTCCATTCCACTGTACTGTACTGTACTGTACTCTGCTCTGCATCTTATCCCATCCCATCCCTATTCTATTCTATTCTACTCTACTCTACTCTACTCCACTCCACTCCACTCCACTCCACTCCACTCCACTCCACTCCACTCCATTCCTCTCCTCTCCTCTCCTCTCCTCTCTTATTCTATTCTATTCTATTCTATTCTATTCTATTCTATTCTATTCTATTCTACCTAGAAAGTCCAGTTGCCTCTTAGGGAAAAAAAAAAAAGCACCTTTGGGAGTCTCGGATTCCAGTTGCCACGATTTAACCTTTTTTTTTTTTAGATAGGCTGATGTTGGTTTTTCATGAGTAAAATCTCTTTCCGGTAGCTCAAAGAGATGGCCGAGGCAGAAGACGCTCTCTCTGAAGCCAATGCCCTCAACAACAGCAATCCGGAAGTCTGGGCTTACCTCGCTTTGGTCTGTATGAAGGTGAGTCTCCAGAGGTCCGTTTTATCCCAACGGCTGAGAATTTGCCCCTCCCTGCGATCGTAGGATTGAGATCGTACGATAACGATGGAACTTCAAGATAAAGAGGAATCAGAGTATTACTTAACATGGGACTTATTGTACAAATGGTTAGATAGCAGGTGCAGAAGTTAGTAACTTAATACACATTGGCATCCTTCAGTCTCAAAAGACTATGGTATCGTGCTCTGGAAAGAGGTCCTAAAACAGCATCTGGTGTGACTAAAAAGGCCAATTCGAGAGTGGCAATCCCTTCCATACTGAAGGCAAATACATTCTGTCCTCTGCCCAGCCCCCAGATATCGCTGGTTTCGGGACTGCCTCTTTGCCTCGGCCTGCTGAACAAGTGTCTCTTCGAATTGGAGAAGGCCATGCTGCATCTTTGGCCTCCAAGTTGAACGATCAGAGGTCAAGGTTTCCCAGTTGTTAATGTCCATTCCCAGGGCCTTTAGGTCCCTCTTGCAAATATTCTTATATCACAGCTGTGGTCTCCCTCTAAGGCGTTTTCCCTGCATTAGTTCTCCATACAGGAGATCTTTCGGAATCTGACCATCAGCCATTCTCACGACATGCCCAAGCCAGCGTAGACATTGCTGTTTCAATAGTGTGTACATGCTAGAAATTCCAACACGTTCCAAGACTGCGCTATTTGGAACTTTGTCATGCCAGAGAATGCTAAGGATACATCAGAGACAGCGCATATGAATAACTTAAGTTGAGTAACTTAATAACGAAAGAAGATTAACAAAATAGAAATAAATACAGTTAGATAGATAGATAGATAGATAGATAGATAGATAGATAGATAGATAGATAGATAGATAGATAGAATGATAGATAGATAGATAGATAGATAGATAGAATATATGTTGTAAACACTATTGGACTCTACGTGACTATAGATTAAAATGTAGAGAGTGATAAACGTATAGAGTTATGGTACAACTATGAAAATAATGGTTATAACTATGACGTACAATATTATGTATTTAAAAGAGACTATACTGTATGACTCAGTGGCTCAGGGGACGCGGCGGCTCAGTGGCTAAGACGCTGAGCTTGTCGATCGAAAGGTCGGCAGTTCAGTGGTTCGAATCCCGAGTGCCGCTTAACGGGGTGAGCTCCCGTTACTTGTCCCAGCTTCTGCCAACCTAGCAGTTCGAAAGCACGTAAAAAAATGCAAGTAGAAAAATAGGGACCACCTTTGGTGGGAAGGGAACTGAGTTCCGTGCGCCTTTGGCATTGGGTCAAGCTGGCCACATGACCATGGAGACGTCTTCGGACAGCGCTGGCTCTTCGGCTTTGAAACGGAGATGAGCACCAGCCCCTAGAGTCGGGAACGACTAGCACATATGTGCGAGGGGAATCTTTACCTTTACCTTTTTATACTGTATGACTACAAGAATAATGGTTATAATACTATGTATACTTAAAAAGGACTTGATACAACCAGTACACTGTCACTGCAAAACTGAAAATGTGATGTATATAATAAAGGAAAATGTATAGTAAAAATATTTTTTTAAAAAAAGGATTGAGATTGGGGTCAGAGTAAGGAAGGGTTTCTCTGCGGATGAATTCAACGCTTCTTAAACCCATTTGAAGTCCTTTTCCAGGTCAAATGGATGGATGGAAAGAAGTTTACAGTCGAGGCAGAAATGTAGAAATGCATTTTCACAGCACCCTTTCCTTTTTTCTGGGCTGCTGTTCTTTTTGTTCACTCTTCTCAATTTGACGAGAGACCTTTCCCTGGGCGATTTATTCCTCCCTTTCCCAGTTTTCCGTTAAAAACACCATTAAGCTTTTCAGGGTTTCTCCTGCCTTGTCAGAACCTGTTTATTACAGATTGCTGTTTTTCCCCCCCTTAGGGCGGAAGACAACTGGAGGCCGAACAATCCTATAAATACGCTGTCAAGGTTGGTGACATTTTTTTTCCTCCCCTGGTTCAAACTTCTCCGATCTCTGGAAGGGTGCAAATCTCCGAGGCTTTTCCCAATACAGGTAGTCTTCCGCTTACAACAATTCGGTTAGTGACCGTTCGAAGTTATAACCTCAGTGAAAAAAGTACGAGTCGGACGCTTGGCAACCGACTCGTATTTATGATGGGTTGCAGCGTCTCGGCGGAGAGGGGAGGGGTTGTCACGTGACCAAAATTTCTGTTGTTTAAGTGCGACATTGATGAAGTGAGTTTGGCCCCCTTTTACGAACCTTTCTTGCCACAGTTGTTAATCGCTGCAGTTGATAAGTTGGGAACCTGAATTGGTGAAGGGAATCCGGCTTCCCTGTGGACTTTGCTTGTCAGAAGGTTGCAAAAGGGGGTCACGTGACCCTGAAAACACTACAATCGTCAGAAATATGATCCAGTCACTAAGCATCTGAATTTTGATCGCATGGTCATGGGGATGCTGCAAAGGTCATAACTGTGAAAAACAGTAATAAGTCACATTTTTCAGTGCCGTTGTGTGTATACACACACAAATATACATACATATACACACACAAATATACATACATATACTGTGTGTGTGTCTATCAGCTAGCTAGCTAGCTATGTATACATACATGCAGGGATGGGATTCAGCCAGTTTGGACTGGTTCGGGCGAACCAGATGTTAATTTTACATCTGGTTTGCCGAAGCGGTAGTTGCAAGGACTAGCTGGCTCCGCCTGCCCCACCCCGCCTCTCCCAGGAGTCTCCACACGGCCTGTTTTGGATGCCAGGTAAGTGCAGGGCCCATGTGGAGGCTCTGGGAGGGTGAAAAATGGGCCTACCAGAAGTACCAGAAGTCTGGAAATGAGCCCGTTTCCGGCCTCCAGAGGGCTTCCGGAGCCCTGGGGAGGCCGTTTTCACCCTCCCGGAGGCTCGAAGAAACCATCTGGAGCCTGGGAAGGGTGAAAAATGGGCCTACCGGAAGTACCAGAAGTCTGGAAACGAGCCTATTTCTGGCCTCCAGAGGGCCACTGGAGCCCGGGGGAGGCCGTTTTCACCCTCTCGGAGGCTCAAGGAAAGCCTCCGGAACCTGGGGAGGGTGAAAACGCCTCCCGCCCCACCATGGTGCAGGAGGCCGAGTAGGCCACGTCCCCTATGGCCACACCCACCCAGCAACTGGGCAGAGAACCGGTTGCTAAAATTTTTCAATCTCACCCCTGCATCCATACTGTACATATATTGTCTGTGTGCATGCATATATATGTCTGTCTATCATCAAGCTATCTTATGTATATGTATACATATACATACATACATACCGTGTTTCTCCAAAAATAAGACCCTGTCTTATATTTTTTTGAACCCTGAAATAAACACTTTGGCCTTATTGCCATGCGCTCAAAGGCCCAATTGGGTTTATTATCAGGGGATATCTTATTTTGGAGGAAACAGGGTAGATAGATAGATAGATAGATAGATATAGATAGATAGATAGATAGATAGATAGATAGGTATAGGTAGGTAGATAGATAGATAGATAGATAGATAGATAGATACCGTGTTTCCCTGAAATAAGACCCTGTCTTATATTTTTTTGAACCCTGAAATAAACACTTGCCTTATTGCCATGCGCTCAAAAGCCTGATTGGGCTTATTATCGGGGGATGTCTTATTTGGGGAGAAACAGGGTACATATTAACAAGGAGGCATTTTTCATTTGTCTTATATTGGATTACTGCCCTTGCCTTCTTTGAGTATATTTGACAGATGTTTAAGTTACCCCGTTTTCCCTTCTGTTGCAGCTGGATTTGGACAACCCCGATCTCCTGCAGGAGGTCAAACAAGTCCAGCTAGAAGTTGGCTTTGGTGACCCATCGTTTTGATCACCTCTTCTGCGGCTATATTCTAAGCAGGGACCAACAGCTACCATTTTACACAGCAGGGGAGGTAGGGCAAGGTTGCCAGATGCTTGCCAACCATCAGCACAGAGGCGTACTTCCACATTCTGAAACAACAATCGCTGTTTGTTTCCAAAGCTTCCATAAAAAGTTTACACAGCAGTTTATGAGTTCATGGAATTTAGAAGAAGCACATTGTAGAGATTCCATTTCTTCTGTGGAATATCCAGCAATGAAATTAAAGCCAACCATAAGGCAACTACAAGGCATGACTTATCTACAGGAGTTAAAAAATGCTGGAGAAAGATTTTTTTCCCCAGTTCCTGAAATGGAAAGCCTCAGAATAATTCTAGCACAGTATTTCTCAAGCTTGGCAACTTTTAAGATGTGTGGACTTCAAACTCCCAGAATTCCCCAGCCAGCTAACCTATGCTGTCTGGGGAATTCTGGGAGTTGAAGTCCACACGCCTCTTTTAAAAAGTTGCCAAGCTTGAAAAAAACTGCTATAACACATCACAATAATTAGAAGACCTTTGTTGGAGATATTTGGAGAAGAACAGGAAGAGGAATTGGAGAGAGGTTAGTGAACTGCCTCATTTCAAGACATTTCTAGGTCTCCTTTAGTGCAAGTGGGTATTACAACCAAGAGCAGATTGGGTTTTATACATCATATTATTACCTGGGCAAAATAAATATCCATGAATGTGAGTTCTTGATTCAGTTAGTTCATCCATGTAGCTCTCTGGAGATGATTCCATCAAGTCAGTTTTGACCTAGTGATAGATTTTTGATCTAATGGCTATGTACATTATGGATCCACGTTTATTTTATTCACGGCTTTTTCTTGTTGTTGTTTTTTGTCTGCTTCTTGTAATTGCTTTGGCAGCCCAGAATTTTGAAAGAGGAATCTAAAATACGATATGCAAAAGGATTCAAGAACAGCAGTTTGGGGCAGGTGATTTAATAAAACAGTTTGGATCTGTTTATTCATGGTGTCTTTTGGATGTGTACTCTTGTGTCTTTCTTTAGGAGTAAAAAATTGTTAATTCTAGTAACTTTTTCTGCCAGAGAAATGCCCAAACTCACTCAGGCTGTAATTGTTTTTTTTTATGTTATAAGTCCATTTGCAAAAGAAAGGTGCGTGCACAAGTTTTTAATATGCAAAGCTGAATTTCACTAATGGTTATACAAATTATCCATGACAGAGAATTTCTGGGCCACGTGAATCTGTTGGAAGTTGTCAAGCAATTTCCATTGATTCTTGAGCTTCTTTGTAGCGTTATTGCCAGCTATGTATTTCCCTTTAAATAGTCATCCTTGCATGACAGCTAAAGTACTATGCCATTTTTCATCTCCCAGTTCATCTTTCATCTCTAAACAAAGATAAGTTTACAATTTTTTTATTACAAATGCAAGAATTGCGAAGAGCTGGAAACATTCTGTCCTGACTTAGGAATTTCTCCCAACGGCTAAAAGCCCAGACGAGTGTGCACGTGTGTGCAAAGCATGCACACGTGCACGTGATGTGCTTCCTTTTCAGCACTTGGTGCTGTGAGCATGCGCGCGCCCTACCTTTTCAGCACTCCGTGAATCCCTGCAGTTGTTAAGTTAGTAACATGGTCATTAAATGAATCTGGCTTCCCCATTGACTCAGAAGGTCACAAAAGGGGATTCCCATGACCCCAGGACATAGCAACAGTCATAAGTATGAGTCATTTGCCTGAATTTTGATAATGTGACCACAGGGATGCGGTCCATAAATGTGAAAAATGATCCTAAGTCACTTTTTTTTTCAGTACCATTGTAAACCTCCGTCACTAAATGAACTGTTAAGTCAAGGACTATCTCTAATGAATAGTTGAGCCAGAACTCCAGGGGCTGGCAGACAGCTAAGAAGTAGATGAACCCAATAAAGCTGTATTCATTTTAATCTATTAAATCAGTTTTTCTCAATCTCAGCAACATTAGGATGTGTGGACTTCAGCTCCCAAAATCCCCCAGCCAGCATGACTTTGAGAAACAGTAAATACACACGCAGCAGAGTCCCAGTACATCCCAATTCCTCCATGCTAAACCTCGGCTCGAAGAGACGGTTACCACCTAACAGTGAGGACAATTAATTAGTGGAACAGCTTGCCACCAGAAGTTGTGGGCGCTCCATCACTGGAGGTTTTTAAGAAGAGACTGGACAGTCACTTGTCTGAAGTGGTATAGGTTCTCCTGCTTGAGAAGGAGGCTGGACTAGAAGACCTCCAAGGTCTATTCTATTCTATTCTATTCTATTCTATTCTATTCTATTCTATTCTATTCTATTCCATTCCATTCCATTCTCTATTCTATTCTATTCTATTCTAGTTCTATTCTATTCTCTATTCTATTCTCTATTCATTCCTTATTCTTTCTACTCTACTCTACTCTACTCTATTCTACTCTACTCTACTCTACTCTATTCTATTCATTCCAATATTCTATTCCATTCCATTCTTCATTCCAATATTCTATTCTATTCCATTCCTAATTCTATTCTATTCTAGCTCTATTCTATTCTATATTCTATTCATTCCTAATTCTATTCTATTCTATTTCTATTCCGATTCCAATTCAACCGACAGCTTAGCCTCGCTAAGCCAAAAAAAAAAAAAAAGGCTGCCGTTTGAGCCTCCGGCCGCAGAGGGCGCTCCAGGCAATACGCGGCGCCCGGATCGGGAAGGCGGAAGCGGAAGCGGGAGCCAGACGGCGGCAGCAGCAGCGCCGAGAAGGGTGGGAAGCGCCGGGGCGAGCGGCGATCGCTGCAAACCCCCTCCCCGAAGCCGCGGGGATGAGGCGGGACGTGCGCATCCTCCTGCTGGGGGAAGGTAAGGGGGCGGCCTGCCCGGATCGGGGCGGCCCGGGATGGAGGGCGAGAAGCGCCGCCGCGTGGGCGCTCCGAGTCTTGGGGAGGGCGGGGGGTCGAGTCTTAAAGAAGGCTGGTGAAAAGGGGGCGGGGCCAGGAGGTCTGTGGGCGGGGCCAGGAGGTATGCGGACGGGGCGGGGCTGAGGAGTTGTGGGCGGGGCCAGGAGGCTTGGCAATGACCTTGGAGGAGAGTCGGGTGGAATCAGGACACGTGGGAAATGGGGAGTTGCATCCCAGAGGGGGGTTGGCCCTAAGTGGTTCTTGCTGGCTTTGGTTGTCCTCCAACTTGGCTTGACTACCGCAACACTCTGTGCATGGGGCTGCCCATGGAGACTACCTGGAACCTTCAACTTGCAGCAGACTCCCAGTACATGCTAAACCTCGGCTCGAAGGGACAGTTACCTCCTAACAGTGAGGACCGTTAACCAGTGGAACAGCTTGCCACCAGAAGTTGTGGGCGCTCCATCACTGGAGGTTTTTAAGAAGGGATTGGATAGCCAAATTGTCTAGAATGGTATAAAATCTCCTGCTTGATCAGGGGGCTGGACTAGAAGACCTCCAAGGTCCCTTCCAGCTCTATTCTGATTGATTGATTGATTGGTTAGCCAGTGGAATGGGTCAATCAATCAATCAGAATAGAGCTGGAAGGGATCTTGGAGGTCTTCTAGTCCAGCCAGTTGTGGATGCTCTATCACTGGAGGGTTTTTTTTAAAAGAAGGGATTGGATAGCCACTTGTCTGGAAGTGGGCTTATAGACCAGCCAACTGGTCTATAAGCGCAGGAGCGGCAAGCAGGATTGGGCAAACCTCTGCTTTGCCCACATCCTGCCTCATCCCCGCAGCTTCAGTGGGGCGGGGTGGGGGGCTGGTTTGCTCCCAGGTGCAATTTCTGGTGCCGGTCGCCACCTGTAAAGCTGCATCAGGCCAGGTAGAAACCGCTTGGTCTCCCTTTAGCATCCGCTCTGCTGATTCGATGCTGCAGGGTTGGCATCCTCTGGGTGCTTTTTGATTCAATAATTCCGTGCATTGGGGTTCTGGGTGGCTGTGGGTGATTCAGTGTAGCAAAGTCCTGCTACAAACATAGGATTGGCTTAGTGGGCGCTCCATCACTGGAAGTTTTTAAGAAGAGACTAGACGGTCATTTATCTGAAATAGTACAGGTTCTCCTGCTTGAGCAGGGGGTTGGACTAGAAGACCTCCAAGGTCCCTTCCAGCTCCATTCCACTCCACTCCATTCATTCTATTCTATTCTCTATATCAGGGGTCAGCAACCTGCGGCTCTGGAGCTGCATGTGGCTCTTTGGGCCCTCTGCTGTGGCTCCCTGTCAGGTGATCCCACCATGGGCTGGCCCCGCCCCTCGCCCTCCCCTCCCAGTCACTCTTCACCTGGCCTGAGAAGGTAAGGGCGACGGTGGGGGATGGAGAAGTGGCCAGGGCAGAGACAGAGAGATACAAAGAGAGGGAGACATAGAGAGACACAGAGCGGGGGAGAAAGACAGAGAGACACAGAGAGAGGGGGAGAGAGAGACATAGAGAGATACAGAGAGGGGGAGAGAGAGACATAGAGAGACACAGAGGGGGAGAGAGATACAGAGAGAGAGGGAGAGGGGAGGAAGGGAGGGGGAAGGGAGAGATATGTCAAAAGGATTTTGTGGTTCCCGGTGTTTTTTAACAACTGGTTCTCTGCCCTAATGACTGGCTCAGTAGGCGTGGTTGGGGGGGTGTCATGTGACTAGTAGAAGTGAGTGACATCGAGTTGGCCACGCCCACCCAGATTTTGTGGCTCCCAGTGTTTTCTTTTCTGTGGGAAACGGGTCCAAATGGCTCTTTGAGTAGTTAAGGTTGCAGACCCCTGCTCTATATTCTATATTCTATTTTATTCTCTATTCTATTCTTGAATACAAGCAGTTCTTCATTTACAGCGGTTTCTTTAGCCACCATTCAAAGTCACAATGGCACTGAACAAAGTGACTTAGACCATTTTTTTACATCCTCATCCCCACAGTCACGTGATTTCCATGCGGATGCTTGACAACTGACCCACATATATGACGGTTGCAGTGTCCCGGCGGTCACATGATCCCCTTTTTGCGATCTTCTGACGAACAAAGTCAATGCGGAAGCCAGATTTCTTTAACAACTGCCGAGATTTATTTTAATGAAAGCGGCAAGGCATGTCGTAAAATGGGGCAAAACTCACTTAGCAAATTTCTCACTTATATGCCGCCGGTTGCCGTTAAGCAACTTAAATTTTGGGCTCAAATTGTGGTCAGACGTTGAGGACCACCTTTAGAAAGGATATGCATTCTCTCTTGTCTGTGACTGGGGTACATCTATCTGGAAGGCAAGGTGGGGAAGCAGAAATGGGACAAATAAGAACTTGGTACTGTGCTTCCCCCAAAATAAGACCCTGTCTTATATTTTTTTTGAACCCCGAAATAAGCGTTTGGACTTATTTTCATGGAGGTCTTATTATTTTGGGGCGCATGGAGCAAGATGGGGCTCCTCTTGCCATCTTACCTGATTTCCAGCTCTGTATTTAAATATTTTCGGGGAGGACTTATTTTTGGCGGGAGGGCTTATTTTAGCACATGCGCTCAAAAGCCCGATTGGGTTTATTATCAGGGGATGTCTTATTTTCGGGGAAATGGGGTAGTTTAATGATCTTGAGATGATTGCTTCATAGAACTTGATAGACAGAGAGATGCCCCCTCCATCCCTCAAGATCTAGATGGCTGCCTGACTGTTGTCACTCAAGAGAGACATAAAGTTCTTCACCCAGGTCTTTGGCGAGGGAGACAATCCCTTGGCTCCATCACACTTGCCATCTTACGTCTTTATCTTTTCTTTTGATTATTATTATATTTTTTTAATGGTTGTGAGCTGTCCAGAGTTGTTGGAACTCAGGCGGCATATACATTTGATATATGATTGGTTCATCGCGCAGTCAGCCAGATGTTCAGAGTGGATTTGACATTTTGATCCCCCTGCCGAGTCCTTTCCGAGGACCTGGGTTAAGACAGATGTTTGAAGGCGTTAAAAGGTATCGTCATGGGATGTAAACTGTTCCAAATCCAGCCCACCTTCTGCAATTGACGGATTGGGGTTTTGTCGATGTTGATGGTGTTCAAATTGGTGCTCCAGATGTTTTGGGATTGCACCCAAGGTGCCCAATCACTCTTAGTACTACCTTTCCTTTCTTTTGCCAAGGTCATTCTACTTCCATGTGGAGATCTTTGTATTTTGTGCTTCACTTCTTTCTCTTTTATTCTGTCTGTCTGTCCATCCATCCATCCATCTATTTATCCATCCATCCATCCATCTATCCATCCATCCATCCATATCTCTCTCTCTCTCTCTCTCTCTATCTCTATCAGCTCTCTCTCTTTCTATCTCTATCAGCTATCTCTATCTATCTATCTATCAGCTATCTATCTCTCTATCTCTCTATCAGCTATCTCTCTCTCTATCTCTCTATCAGCTATCTCTCTCTCTCTCTCTCTCTCTCTCTATCTATCTATCTATTTATCTATCTGATTAATATATTTTGCCTTTTGCAAAACCTCATCCAGTAACATTCTATGTTATCTTAAACTATTTTCCATATATTCTTCTACCTTTTCTCCAGGATTCTGATTCTGACATGTACTGCCATGTCCACTATCCAGATTTTTTTAGTCTTTCTTATTGACAGTTGCTAAATCGGGGGATTATGTGGCAATTCTTTGGCACTTTAATTTCTTCATTTTTATATGCTTTAACTGACCTAATCTAAAAGTTGGTCTAGCTCAGGGGTCGGCAACCTTAAACACTCAAAGAGCCACAAAGGTCCTAACTGTTCTAGCCATTTTAGATTTAATTCTGTTTTAAACGTATTTTAATTGTTTATATTGTATGTTTTTAACTATGGCTGTGCACCGCCCCGAGTCCTTCGGGAGAGGGGGCGGTATAAAAATCTAATAAATAAATAAAAAATAAATAAACTGGAAGCCCCCCGTTCAATTCTGGAGCTGACCAGAAGTCCGGTTCCCCCACCATAGAGTCTCCTCCTAGCGCAGCATCCTTTTTCCTCTACCTGTCCTAACCGAAATCCCGATCAGTTGTGAAGCCGACCAGTGACAGGGAACCGCAGCAGAGGGATGAAAGAGCTACATGCGGCTCCAGAGCCTCGGGTTGCCGATTCCTGGCCTAGATTATAGCAGTTTTAACATTTGTTTTATAATTAAATAAATAACTAACGATCCAGAGATCTGATCTTAAACTATCCTGACATTTTTGCTACAGCAATCCAAACCGATTATGACTTCTAGACTAACTGAAAGAGTTGGGCAGAGGATATCTTGCAAAATTGTTCTAAAAGGTTCTTCGCAAAATAATACGGAAAGCAGGATCCTTCATCTGACACTATGGTCTCTGGCTTATGGTGCTGATATATATATGTGTGTGTCTATTTTCAGGTTGTTGCAATTCTTTGGTATTAGTATTGAATTTTTTATTTCATATTTAATCTTTGCTAAGCGCTTACATTATTTCTTAGTTAACTTATGTCAAAATCCATTCATAATCAGAATCCTGAATTTTTTGTTTTTAATGGTATGTGACTGTAAAGCTGCCCAGAGTTACTCTATATGGTAAGAGGGGCAGCCAATAAATTCTACAAATAAATACCTTGAAGAATTGTAGGAGAACGGTTATAAAAAGAACAGTTGCAGGAATTGGGTATGTCTAGTCTAGCAAAAATGGGCTCAGTGGCTGAGACGCTGAGCTTGTCGATCAGAAGGTCGGCAGTTCAGTGGTTTGAATCCCTAGTGCCGTGTAATGGGGTGAGCTCCCGTTACTTTTCCCAGCTTCTGCCAACCTAGCAGTTCGAACACGTAAAAAATGCAAGTAGAAAAATAGGGACCACCTTTGGTGGGAAGGGAACAGCGTTCCGTGCGCCTTTGGCATTGAGTCATGCCGGCCA